AACATATATTTTATCAAATGTTTTGGAAAAAAATGACATAGTTTAAACGCATATTGTAGTTGTACATTATACAATGTTTCACAGTAAATTCAATCTAAGCTCGACAAGCTTCGCAGAGAAAAAGAGAAAAGATTTTTACAATTAATTTGTAATTAGTAATTGCAATCAGTCTGTGACCTGCCGTACAATGTTACAAACAAAATACCTAAGCTCTATCAGCTTTTCAGAGTTATAAAGAAGAAGATTTTTACAATTAGTAAGTAATTAGTTATATAATTGCAATCAATCAGCGACCCGTCGTATGTACACAACATGACACAAGTTAAGTTTTTCAGATAAAAAAATAACATGCTCGTATAAGAAACTGAACGAATTATTATATATATAAACACACGAATATTTATTCTGCATTATTTAGCATTTGACTAATAAACAGTAAAATTACAATACCTAGTAAGTATGCGTTCGTCATCATCAACATAAAAATGTGAGTGACATTCGTCATGATGCTTTAAATCCGTTATTCACTTTGTAATTATGAATAACTAAGACACCAAATGTTTTATAATAATTATGAAAATCTCTATATGCTGAAGAAGATGATCCTATGTGTAAATTATATGCACTTTAAACACTCTTATGAAGATATCGTTTAATTAAAAAAAAACTTTTAAAAGAAAATAAACAGGGTAAATAGCATTTCCCTGTTTATAAGAAGCATTTTAAGAAAATATATCGAATTGTCGATATAAACGCATGCTTTGACGTCACGTAATATTGGACATTATCGTGTTCATTACAATGAAAATATCGGAACGTGACATAACGTTTATCGAAATGAGATTAATTATCCGAAAATGTCTGTTACAAAGATATAATATCATTTCGTTTTTCATCATAATTTTGACTGGTGTAAAAGTTGGAAAATACCTATGCAAAATTTGTATTTATAAGGGTTTTTGGTGTTGTTTTTCGTCATCTATTAGGTATGTTTAAAAAATACAAATGTATGAGTAAAATAAAAAAAAATGTAAAAAATATTATTTACAAAATTCATTAAAAGTTATTTTTGCACATAATTTTAAAGCATACATTTACATATGCTTATAGGCCATTGTAATGTCCTCTTATGTAATTTTCAATATCCTATACATGTATGTCGGTATAATTCAGTATAAACGTGCTACGAATTTCATAAAAACTTTAAAAAACAGGAACTAAAAGCATTGCTTATAGCCAACTAATATTATACTGATTCGAAAGTACAGAGAGATAATTGCAATCTTAAATAAATGGTTTTCTTAATACATATACACTTTGTATGGGTAGTTTCTGTTATCAAAGTTTAACTGACCATTTGATAATATAGCAGGTGCTACGAACGTTATCGAAGTTCATCCGAATAGTTCTTTTTTCCTTTGTCCTAAATACTACATTCAAAATTGTGTTTAATTACATCGGCCTCCCTTTGCTTTATAACATTTATAAACTTTAAAGAAAAGGTACAAGTACATGAAAAGTGTACGTATACGGTTCATTTGTGCTTAAATTTTGGAAATAAAAATTAATGATTGTATGTGAAGGTACAAGTCAGAAATAAACTTTTATATTCCATCCAGATATGTTTTTGTATAATTTCGTATAACCGTACACATACACCACCCTCCACAAAATAGTAAAAAAAAGTAATAAATATAAATAAGAAAATAGATAATAAGATAAAGAATCAAATTTTCCCAAAAGGTAAGCGAATTTTAAGGTTTTCACTTCTTTTTATTATGGTTGTTACAAAACATCATGATAATTATATTTTGTATAAAGGCTAACGTTTTTGTTAATGATTCTTTGTTGTTGAGGCGGTTCTTATCGGCTATTTAAGTTTTTATTTGAAAATGTTTATCCGTTTTATTTGTGAGTTAGCTGTTTCAGTAAATTTCTTGTTCCTTTTTTCAGTATAACCACTGCACCATAGCACCCGCTCTGAATAATAACTGTTTTTGAAAGTCCTTTATACATTATTACTCCAATGGCTAACAAAAACATATTGCAATTAAATTTTGACACCTTTACTTAGGTAGTCAACCCGCGTGACTTTTTATATATTACTCGATTTAAGTAATATGATTATAGATAACATTGCTGTTACTTTAAGAAACTATGGAAATTTAGTGGAGGGTACCCGGAATTCTGAGATATATCAGATGATGTGAAAATCTTCATGTAGAATTTTCCAACAACCGAGACTGAATTCCGAAATTTTCAAGAGCTGTTGTGGTATCGCAAGCCCACGTACCAATTTTAGATAATTACAGCAAAGAAACGAGCTATTTTACATAATGGAACGTTTTTAGTTCCATGAGAAACTTATCATTGAATTCAATTTACTTGAAAAAGAAAATGATATTATCATTAATACTGCAATATAGATCAAAGCACTGAAGGCACTGAATGTGATGGTTTCACGTAGGCAATTACTACACAATTAAGCAAATAAAAGAATGCGATATGTCAATGCGTTAAATTAAATAAGTGTGTTGTATATCTCTGTAAAGCCCTCCTCCCCTGATGATACTTTATTTCATGTTGCATTGTTAGAACAAAATTAACCTTTTCATACACAAATTTGCATTTTTTACCGCAAATTATGTTTACATGAATGATCACACTGTACAACTTTTTGATTTATCACTTTCCATTTCCCTTTATTTCAATACTTTGATCGTTGACATGCTTTTAAATCTTTTAAAATTGGCGCATGCCAATAAACTTTGAGTACAATTTACCTTATTACAAACAATCTTATACATGTATACACCACAGATTTCTTCTGCACACATGACGTAAACAACTTAAGTGCATTACGGTTCCTGGCAGAACAACCTAAAACTTTGTAGGTGGTTAGGTCTTATCAAAGAGGCATGCAGCACAAAGCAGTGATGATTTCTATGGAGGGGACTATCCCGAAAAAGATATGTATCTTGATAACATGTTTATATGTTAATGTGTGTTGATTGCATTCTTATTTATTCATATTACATTTGTTACCTTCTATGTATATTAATTGACATTAAGGAATGCAGAATTTCAAATGCATATTATATGACATTGTAAGGAATAGTATTGAAAATTGTTAATGCAGAACTGGTATCGTTGCTTTTGATTTAACTCTAACAGTCTTAAAAAAAGCTTTCGGATGAGACAATAAATCGAGGTCCCGTGCATGAGTGGTATTACATCGTTGTATTATATGGGGTTAAGAAAACGCAAACTACACAAATAATGTTTGTAAATTACGAAAAAAAAAACAAGTTGCTAAACTCATTTTACAGCAAACATAAAGATCTCCGTCAATGAAGCTATTCGAATCTCTTAACTGGTTACCATTCCTTGACAGATGTAAATATCACACGACTTGTTTAAAAAAACTTTAAATTACATGGTACAAATTAATATAACATAATTGATTTATTTATCAGGCAATGAAATATACAATTTAAGATCTAACTCACGAAAAGATATTCTATTATGGACCAGACCTAAAACAAATTATATTATGGACACATTTTCTTATCATGGCTTGAACATTTGGAACAGTATATACTCGAACCCCATGATACCGGTGGCTCCACGGTACCGGTGTATTCACATATCTCGCGATATTATTGTCAACGCCACCTACCGAGTGTTTATATTGACATGCTCTAGTAATATTTGCTATTTCAAAGTTTTTAAACATTTTAATGAGTTTCTGAAGAAAATATTTCACATATCCTACCTTATTTTTCATTTACTATCCTTTTCCTCCATTGCATAAATCGGTCTCTCTACAAAACACATTTTTTTCCAAAAAAATAAAAAATGACAGGTGTTGACGTCATTCTTACCTCCATTACATGTCACTTGACCTTTTGACACCATTTTTGGCGGGAAAAAATTAATCTATGGAAAGCCATTAGTGCATATAAAACAGTTTGTGAAAATTGAAAAGTCAGTTTCATTCAGTCTGTTAAGGGAGCCTGTGTAAAGTGCCATATTGATATTTTATCTTCATCATATAGTAATAAAATAGATTCAATGATATAAAAGGACCAAAAAATCACAACAACACTAAAATAAAGTGAAGGGGGAATTTTTGAATCCAGTCACATGGTATAATATACACCTGTAATTGGGAGTGTAAGATTCTAATACAGAGATCCCTTGGGGGTAATAAAAGATGAACAGTAAACTATTTAAACACACGTTTTTATGTTGTTTTTAAGTTATTTTTTTAGATAGGAATACAAGAATGCTAAAATGATATTTTTGCTATTAAAACTGCAATGGCTTTCCATATAAACAACATTTTTACCAGTGCACCGGTAGCATGAAGTCTGTTTATCTACGTCATACAAAATGGTCGACCATTGTTTACATTTGTAGTGAGCGTGAATTTCATAGTAACAGAACGCTGTAATGTATTTCTAAAAGGATTAAATGTTAATGAAGTTGTTAATTCCCTCTTTTTTTCAAGTCAGTAAAATTTTATCTGAAAAACACCTTGTATAAAATATGTACACCGGTATCGTGGAGACCCGGGCTACCTTTAAATATTCGCTATATTGACAAATGTTTTAAAGACATACATGCATATGTTTTGTTAAGTTGAGTGTATTATTATTATTATTATTATTATTATTATTATCATTCTATTACTTATACAATATACACACATAGACACACACTGTAGTATACGTATATATACTGTATAAGACTATAATTTTTTTCACTTTTTCAACTCTTATTTACATGTATAACATAGCACATACATGTAACAATACTAGACAGGAGCTACATGTAATCGATAGTTTATCAATGACACCTATGTCAGGTTATCAATTCATGAATTTACTTACAACATATAACTATGGCGGATATTCCCCTCCATAAAAACAAAACAGGGTGTCTTTTTGGTGTTTATTTTTACCTGGTGGCATTTGTTGAGCGTTCGGTCAAAATATCACTTTGGGTTCTTTTACATCTAAACACCGGAAGCGGCAAGTTTTCAACAGTCATCTCTTATTTTATATTTCTTCGTTAAAATTTACATTAACAAAGCTTTAAAATGGCTGGGAATGTGCGTACAATAGAAACCGATCCAGAGTTTGATGTAGAACTCACGAATGCTGGTACAAAACTTGTTGTTGTTGACTTCTATGCAACTTGGTAAGTTCGAAAAATTATGGGCTTTTCTAGAAAAAATATATGGACTGCAATTTATTTAAATTTTAAAGAGCAGTTTCTATAATTTTTCATAGTGCTTCATAGAACGTCATTTGTAAAAATAGACAGGTCACACGTAAGTGAGGTAATAAAGTGAATAATAATGCCAAATAAAAGGTTGACACTAGGTATGTTAAAATTCATAAAGAAATTAGAAACATTCTTCAGTCGCTATCGCTCCTTTTGAAGTTTCTGACTTCTGTAGAATAGCACTGATGAACAATAATATAAACTTGGAAATAATAGAAAATATGAATTGGCTTTTATGTTTTGTTTCTTCAAACATTTTTCTTCAGGGAGCTAAAAATTCCACTCGTCCACTCATAATTACAAGTAGACATTGATGCAGGACGAGTACAAAATCGTTGCATGCTCGTCCGGCAGGTTGAGCAGTAATTTGCCTATGTATTAGAATGCTAGATTTCTCAAAATCTGTTTATTTACATTTAACGATGGAAAAACCGGAAATAAAGCTTGTGTTTTAGGTTATAAATGTATAATTTGTGCAATGTATAAAGCTCTAACAGCATTGTTAATTGGATATATGCTTTTCTCTCGTCGATTCGTGACTCTTATTTGGAAAAATTGCACTTGCACAACAAATATCAGACGTACATACAGTTCAATTAGTGCATTTGTTAAATAAATTCATTATCTAAAAGTTCACAAACTTTAAATTACTTCTAAAAACAACCGCTCAAAGATTAGAGCAACTGAACATGTCAACCATGACTGTCTTGCTCAGCTGGACGCTTACCCATCGATTCGTGAAATCCGATTCACCCTGTGACGTCATCAAAATATAGGTGCTCACACCACTAAATGTTCGCATGGTTATTTTCAGCCCGATCTGATCAATATATGTTTCAAAGTCTTAAGTAAATTCTTACAGCATAATGAATATTTTTTTGGCTTAAGTGTAAGTGTGTTTGATAAATTAAAACATTAATATCGAATATTTTAAAGTAATTAGGTCGCCAGCTGATTGTAGGGTAAGGTCATTTACACCTGTTCAATTACGCATTTTGATTGGATAGAATTGTCAAATCGAGTGTCTAATAAAACTTGTGTAGTTTTCGGATGGTGTATGTCCTTGCAGAAGTATTTATACCAGACAATTATTTAGGTCATGAATCGATGAGAAGGCACGAATCGATGAGAATAAGGCATATATGGGTGTGACTGGAATGTGCCTGACAATGATCTATAAAATGCGCAATTTAAACATAACCTAAAACACAAGCTTAGTTTCTGGTTTTGGTTTGTAAAATTTATGTTAACAAATTGATTATGAGATGTTTTAGCGGTCACTTGCATCGACGACGTTCTATTGCATCGGCAAGTTTATCTTAAAAAATCAAGTCAAAAATGATGGACAAGTATAAAGTGGAGGCCACCCGTCCTGCAGGACAAGTTGCTCTGAAAATAATTTTCCATCCCTGTTCTTGCATTGGAATATTTCCTGTTGATATTCAGTGTTTGTGTTACTATCCTTTTATTTTTAAAGGTGTGGACCATGTAGAAATATTGCCCCGGTGTATGTGCAGCTGAGTGAGAAATACCCAAAAGCTGTTTTCCTAAAGGTTGATGTGGATAAATGCCAGGTAACATAAAATTGTAACACAGTCTGTTACTTTTTATAGTACTGAAACTTTCATAGAGCTGTATGAAATATTCAATTGTTTTGTGCAGTTGTAAAACTTATATAATATGATGCATAACATCTACTTGTTGGTAAACATTGAATTGCTTCTCTCATTTACTGGTACATTCTTGGCTTGTATACATGTATTTAGAAGAACAAGTCGAGCTGTTATGATCCCGACTATGTTGTTGTTTGTGTGACATCATGCAAATACATTAATAATTATGTACAGTAGGTTATTGTTCAAACATTTTGAAAATTATCAACATGAAACTACATGTTAATTGTACCGCCTCTGTGGTCGAGGGGTTAGAGTCGATGACTTCTAATCCAGGTACCTCTCTGGCGTGGGTTCCATCCTCGGGAGATGCTTTGGTAGTTTAGCGCGGAGGAAGGTTGTCTAGTACTGGTGTAACTCTCCAGGAACGATGGTTAGGAAACTACCCGCCTATATGACTGAAATACTGTTGGGAAAAGGCGTAAAATGAAACAAACAAACAAACAAACAAAAACATGTTAATCATGACAAAGTGCAGATTTTAGACAAGGGGCGTTATTCTTAAGTTAAATCAATATGCCCTTTTTTAACTAAGAACTTTATCAGACGAGTGATGCCATGCTCCTATTTAACTTATCTATTCTCTTAATCTCAGATACGTTTAATAAGCATTCATCTGTTCATCAACAATCAGATGGTCTGAAAAAGGGCAGAAAAAAGTTCTAATTTGTTTATTTGATTATTACCAAATAGTATCGTCAAATTTCTTCAAAATACTCTTTTTCACTTAGCTGTAATGTTTTTCAGTCCACAGCTCAGGACCAAGGTGTGTCAGCAATGCCCACTTTCATATTCTACCGGAATAAAGTAAAAATTGATTCACAAAGAGGCGCTGACCCAAATGCTCTTGAAGAAAAAATAAAGAAGTGGTATGGAGAAGCAGATGATGATGGTGGTGATGAAGTGACAGTCAAAGGTCATGTAAGTATGATTCTGTTTGTACTTTTCTTTCCAATTTTAGGATTAGAGACTACTTGACATCCTGTGACAGGGTGATTATTATCCTCCCACAGTTTAAGTCAGTGGCATCAAGGTGGCATGTGCTTAAATAAGATAAACTTTAAACATGAGGACGATCAAACGTCGTCAGTGAGTTGTCTTGTTAAGTTTGAGTAAGTGATCTGTCTGTGGTCTCGCAACCAAAGAATAAAGATTGATATCCCTAGAAACAGGGATGCGTTTCACTAACATACTTTCGTTATCGTCACTGTAATCTTAACGTAACTTTTTGTGTAAGCAGAACTTTGTCGTATTTATTTGCGTTTCACTATATTTTCTTAATTACGCACTTGCGTAAGTTTAAACATAAAGTTACGCTCACTAATTGCTGGTGTAAATTGCATGTTGTTTATAGTGAAACACAACTAACATAAATTTATGTTTTGCGTAAGTCCAAATTTACGTAAAAAGATACACAAAACTTAAGAATGTTAGTGAAACGTTCACAATATATTGTTTTAACCTGTTTTTGCCACATTTATTTCAGATGGACTTGTCTTCATTTATCAACAAATCTGGTTGTGAATGTTTAAATGAAAGTGATGATAACCCCCTAGCTCATTGTCTTACATCCAAGGGAGGCTATCTGGAATCTGACTGTGATGAACAAGTTAGTAGTAGTTCTCTCCCTTTGTTTAATTAATTTGTATAATTGATAAATTGATAACTTTACAGATGAAGTTATTGTATCTGACTGTAATTTACTGGTAAGTGGTTGATTAACTCCCTTTTTGTTTTTGGCAAAGCAAACACAAATATAAGTGTACAGGGTGTTCAGTGTATTGATAAGTGGACAAATTTCTGTTTTTCTTCTCGCTATCGGATGTAAACCACAAGTGCACCCATCAGTGATTGGCTTAAACCACTTTAATGTAGATAATTTGTCACGCCTACTGTAGACGGGGCTTATTGCTTTGTAAATGCTAAATTCATGTGTCAGCATTTAGTGGTTGACAAACAGGAAAGTTTCCATGCATATATCAGAAATTATCACGGGTCAAAAGATGATTTTATGACTGGTAGACATGTGCATTCCAGAATTTTTAAGGGTCAAGACCAAAGGTCTCGAGTCAAACATACAATTTTTAGCTCGACTATACGAAGTATATGGAGAGCTGTCCTACTCGCCTTGGCGTCCGCGTCCAGATTTTAGATTAAAGTTTTGGTGCAGTAAAATATTTTTCACTATAACTTTGTCATTTCTTAAGGTATCAACTTCAAATATATGTTCCTTATCATCAACCACATCTTATGTGACAAGGTTCATAACTCTAGCACCAATATTTTCAGATTTATCTCCCCTTGAACTTAGAATTTTCCTTAAAAAATACTATTTTTTACTGATACTTCTTTATTTCTTAAGGGATCAACCTCATACTTCAAATATATGTATCTTATCATCATCCCCATCTTATGTGACAAGGTTCATAACTTAGCACCAATATTTTCAGATTTATCTCCCCTTGAACTTAGAATTTTCCTCAAAAAATACTATTTCTTATTGTTTCTTCTTTATTTCTTAAGGGATCAACCTCATACTTCAGATATATGTACCTTATCATCATCCCCATCTTATGTGACAAGGTTCATAACTCTAGCACCAATATTTTCAGATTTATCTCCCCTTGAACTTTGAATTTTCCTCAAAAAATACTATTTTTTACTGTTTCTTCTTTATTTCTTAAGGGATCAACCTCATACTTCAAATATATTTACGTTATCATCATCCCCATCTAATGTGACAAGGTTCATAACTCTAGCACCAATATTTTCAGATTTATCTCCCTTTGAACTTAGAATTTTCCATACAAAATATTATTTTTAGCTCACCTGTCACTTGTGACAGGGTGAGCTTTTGTGATCGCTTTTCGTCCGTCGTCCGTCCGTAAACTTTTACTTTAAATGACATCTCCTCATAAACCACTAAGCCAATTTCATCCAAACTTCACAGGAATGTTCCTTTGGTGGTCACCTTTAAAAATTGTTCAAAGAATTTAATTCCATGCAGAACTCTGGTTGCCATGGCAACCGAAAGAAAAAACTTTAAATATCTTCTTTTAAAAAACCATAAGAGCTAGAGCTAAGATTTTTGGCATGAAACATCTTCTAGTGAGAATCTACCAAGTTTGTTCAAATAAAAGCCCTGGGGTCAAAATTGGCCCCGCCCCAGGGGTCATTGATTTTCCCTATATGCATATAGTAAAAACTTAAAAAATCTTCTTTTAAAGAACCCAAAGAGCTAGAGCTAAGATATTTAGCATGAAACATGTTCTAATGGGTGTCTACCAAGTTTGTTCAAATAAAAGCCCTGGGGTCAAAATTGGCCCCGCCCCGGGGGGTCATTGATTTTCCTTATATGCATATAGTAAAAAGTTAAAAAATCTTCTTTTAAAGAACTCAAAGAGCTATGGCTAAGATATTGAGCATCAAACATGTTCTAATAGGTGTCTACCAAGTTTGTTCAAATAAAAGCCCTGGGGTCAAAATTAGCCCCGCCCCAGGGGGTCATTGATTTTCCCTATATGCATATAGTAAAAACTTAAAAAATCTTCTTTTAACGAACCAAAAGAGTTAGAGCGAAGATATTTAGCATGAAACATGTTCTAATAAGTGTCTACCAAGTTTGTTCAAATAAAAGCCCTGGGGTCAAAATTGGCACCGCCCTGGGGGTCATTGATTTTCCCTATATGCATATAGTAAAAACTTAAAAAATCTTCTTTTAAAGAACTCAAAGAGCTATGGCTAAGATATTTAGCATCAAACATGTTCTAATAGGTGTCTACCAAGTTTGTTCAAATAAAAGCCCTGGAGTCAAAATTGGCACCGCCCCTGGGGTCATTGATTTTCCTTATATGTGTATAGCAAAAACTTAAAAAATCTTCTTTGAAAAAACCCAAATAGCTAGAGTTAAGATATTAAGCATGAAACATCTTTTAGTGAGTGTCTACAAAGTTTGTTCAAATAAAAGACTTGGGGTCAAAATTGGCCCGGCCCCGGGGGTCATTGATTTTCTTTATATGTTGTGTATAGCGGCCCCAGGGGTGTCATTGTTTTTAACTATATGTGTATAGTAAAAACTTTAAAAAAATCTTCTTTTAAAAAGCCCAATTAGCTAGAGCTTAGTTGTTTAGCATGAAACATCTTCTTATGGGTGTCTACCAAGTTTGTACAAATAAAAGCCCTTGGGTTAAATTGGCCCTGCAACGTTGGGGGGGGGGGGCTATATACAGGTGAGCGACCTCAGGGCCATCATGGCCCTCTTGTTTACTGTAACTTATTTATTTCTAAAGGGATCAACTTCATACTTCAAATATATTTACGTTATCATCATCCACATCTTATGTGACAAGGTTCATAGCTCTAGCACCAATATTGCAAGAATTATCTCCCCATAAACTTAGATTTATTTACTAGAAAAATGTTATTTTTTATTTTAACTTTTTTATTTTTAAAGGTATCTACCTCAAACTTCAAATACTTATTCCTTATCATCAATTACATTTTATGTGACAATGTTCATAACTCTTGAAGCAATATTTACAGATTTATCTCTCTTTGAACTTAGGATTTTCTTTAAGAAATATAATAACTTCTTTATTTTTTAATCTATCTACTTCAAACTTCAAATATATATTTCTTATCATTACACAAATGTTGTGTGGCAAGGTCCATAACTCTAGCATGACTATTTCTAGAATTATTCCCCTTGATCTTGGAATTTATGTTAACAAATGTTATTTTTTTACTATAACTTAATACATAATTATACATAATTGATTTTTCTTTCATAGTTTTGTCCTCCTTACTGCGTCCAGTATTTTATTAGTCGAGCTTCGCTGTCTCCTGTGACAGCTGTTGTTATATTGAGTTACAAATTACATTCTTAATGAATCAGTTTTGATTACAACAATGGAACATACAGTTTTGTTTACACAGAGACATTGAGTGTTTGAAAAAGTATTTTAGAAATAATGTTTAATTTATTCTGACAGAATGTGTGTTTTGAAAACAAAGTTTTGTTTACAGAGATAGAACATAATAATGTATTGAAAACAAAGTTATTTTTATGCAAAAGACAGAACCAGGTGTTGAAAAATAAAGTTTTATTGATTCAAAGAATTGTTTTGAATTGAAAGTTTGAAAACAGATGTTTTGTTAATGCAGACAGATAATTTGTTTTCAAAATGTTTATTTTTATTTTTAAACAGAAAGAACATGTGTTTTGACAATAAAATTTTATTGATCAGACAGAATAATATGATGATATGATTTTGAATATTGTTTTTCTTGTTTTGTATTTTCAGCTGTTAATAAGCATAGAATTCACACAGCCTGTTAAACTACATTCATTAAAGTTATACGGTCCTAAAGGTAAGAAAATGATGTGTCACATGATAAACTAAAACACATGGTAAACCATAACACATGATAAACTAAAACACATTGTAAACCAAAACACATGATAAACTAAAACACATTGTAAACCATAACACATGATAAACTAAAACACATTGTAAACCAAAACACATGATAAACTAAAACACATTGTAAACCAAAACACATGATAAACTAAAACACATTGTAAACCAAAACACATGATAAACTAAAACACATTGTAAACCAAAACACATGATAAACTAAAACACATTGTAAACCAAAACACATGATAAACTAAAACACATTGTAAACCATAACACATGATAAACTAAAACACATTGTAAACCAAAACACATGATAAACTAAAACACATTGTAAACCAAAACACATGATAAACTAAAACACATTGTAAACCATAACACATGATAAACTAAAACACATTGTAAACCAAAACACATGATAAACTAAAACACATTGTAAACCAAAACACATGATAAACTAAAACACATTGTAAACCAAAACACATGATAAACTAAAACACATTGTAAACCAAAACACATGATAAACTAAAACACATTGTAAACCAAAACACATGATAAACTAAAACACATTGTAAACCATAACACATGATAAACTAAAACACATTGTAAACCAAAACACATGATAAACTAAAACACATTGTAAACCAAAACACATGATAAACTAAAACACATTGTAAACCATAACACATGATAAACTAAAACACATTGTAAACCAAAACACATGATAAACCAAAATACATGATAAACTAAAACACATTGTAAACCAAAACACATGATAAACTAAAACACATTGTAAACCAAAACACATGATAAACTAAAACACATTGTAAACCATAACACATGATAAACTAAAACACATTGTAAACCAAAATACATGATAAACCAAAATACATGATAAACTAAAACACATGATAAACTAAAACACATTGTAAACCATAACACATGATAAACTAAAACACATTGTAAACCAAAATACATGATAAACCAAAACACATGATAAACTAAAACACATTGTAAACCATAACACATGATAAACTAAAACACATTGTAAACCAAAATACATGATAAACCAAAATACATGATAAACTAAAACACATTGATAACCAAAATACATGATAAACCAAAATACATGATAAACCAAAGCACATGATAAATGAAATTCATGGTAAGGCAGTGCCTTTACACAGATTCCATAGTTCCAGGAAGGTGTCTTAGGTGTGCCTCAAGTACATGTCTGTTTTAAGCTTTTATACATCCATTTTGCTGCAAGTTAACTATAGGGGAGTGGTGACCTAGTGGTTAAGGTATCTGCCTCTCAACCCGAGGATCATGTGTTCGAGCCCAACTCCGGTCACAATCATGTTTGTGTATATGACTGATACTGGTTGGTTCCAGGAAGTGTTCTTGAAAGTGATTAATATTAGTTGCAAAAACTTGTTTGGCAATTGAACTTACATGTTTGAACTATTATTACTATACTAAAAAGATGTTCATAGCTGATGAAAAAAACTTTTATGACTACTTTACAGAAAATTGAATACATGCTAATTATGTATGAAAGTGTTTTTAATTTCTGATAATAGCAATTCTTGTACTCAACTTGAACAGAATTTCTTATGTCACCATATCTCATGTTATTTGTATTGACAGATAAAGGACCAAAGACTGTAAAAGTGTTCCAGAATCAACCGAGATCATTAGACTTTGATTCAGCAGATGGTATGACCCCCACACAACAGTTAGAGTATGTTAAACTCTTTTTATACCTTTGTATTGATAGGTTTGGGGTGTTATATGCTAGATCTGTCAATGATTCAGTGCAAAGCATATCGATATCGGAGACAAATACACACTTTATGTAGATATACCTTAAAATTCCTAATAAACGCCCCTCCCCTAATAAAGCCCCCCCCCCCCCCCCAGGCCTTTTGATAAGGAAAATAATCTACTCATCAGTGCTGAACTCATAATTAAAGCCATAATTTTATTCAAATCATTCAGAATCCATAGTGTTTAATAGTAAACACAAATATGTATAATATGAACTTTAAAACCTTAGCACTTTTTAGTGTTATTACCAACTCTTGCTAACACTAAATGTATTTACACTGATTTTTTTTATTTAGGAAAAACTGTGTTGTAATAAAAGCCCTCCTTTTTGAAAATGTTAAGCCCCCGGTGGCGTTTATTAGGAATTTTACGGTACACACAGTATTGACAATTACTGTTTTATCATATGACTAAATTTTAAAGGAACTTCGCTGAGTTCCAAAAGCCTAAAATAATAAAATTTGAAATTCTTTCTTAAATCAACTGGTACACTTAAATTTGAAACCAAGCAATAGATGGTATATGAATATACGCGGTATTAAATTGATAATCTATTTTTATGCAATTTGTGGAAAGCATTGCAGGGGTTTTCATTTTTTGGGTCAATTTATTGCACATTGAAATTGATTATTTTTGGGATACGGAGTTAGCGAATGTTTTGAAAATTTGTATATGAGTTATAAGTCTCAACAAACATCTATTTATACAAAAATGTTGAAAAAATATTTTCGGTCCCTTCACGTCAAAAAACTACAGTGGAGTCTGTTTAACATAAAAACTTTTTATTTATAAAAATAAATGTATGTGTAACAAAGAAAAAAAAAACATAATAGTACATGTGTTTTATATAAAGAAATATTAGATGCATGATATTACAAAGAAAACAAGGAAAGTCACTGGAAAAAAGAAATTTATTTACCACATTTCAAGGGATTAATAGTGCTAGCCTACCCCATAACAAGTGTGGTCTTCTATTGCCTTAGGTTACGGTTTCACGCAATTGTTTCAAATCCTGTTATCTGCGAATTTTTTCACCAGAGTAAGCAAACCCACTAGCTTACAGAAGGTCAGTGGTTCTACTCTGGCGCCATCTTGTGACTGAAATAATGTATAGGAAAGCACTGTCTTCCTCAATGGGTAAAGCTGGAAAATCGACGTATGACCTACACAATGTCAGCAAGCCTTACAGTGCATCAGAAGAATATAAACATTGATGCTAATTCACTTAAAAAGGAGCAACTTAAATATTCTTGCATATCAGACTGGTGTTTCTGTTAGTTTTACACATGCCGAAAATTTCATCTGGCATGGGGGGTGCCAGATGCCAGATAAGTTATGTGCTATACAATGGCATGGTTAGGATGATGAAATTTTACTGTTATTATAATGAATGAAGTTGTAATTTCATACACTGTTGTAAGAAAATAGTTACAGGTGTAATGGAAAATTGTTTTTTTTAAGATAAAAAATTTAACATGTTATGGAATATGAGCGGGTTTCCTTGGGACGGATATTTCAATTCGAACAGCAACATATGACAGATATTATTTGTCTACATAATTGAAGGAAAGTTTGAGTTAATGTTATCATTCTGTTTATTGTTGTTTTCTTTTTGACAGATATTATTTGTCTACATAATTGAAGGAAAGTTTGAATTAATGTTATCATTCTGTTTATTGTTGTTTTCTTTTTAGCTTGAATTCAGATGATATTCAAGAAGGTAATTTGGTGCAGTTGAGATACGTTAAATTCCAAAATGTATCAAATATAACAGTAAGTATTGAATAAATATATTATTACATTCCATAAAAACACATCTGGCAGTCAATTGTGAAATCGTATCAGGGTGTCCGTTTGATCCTGGAAATGACTCTTAGACCCTTTAAATTTCCTAAAGACTAGATTTGACCCTCAGGAATTTAAGTGGAGGGTCAAGTTTTGTTAAAATCATGGTAACCTCATTTTTAAATGTCATGAAGAAGGCTTCAATGTGGCATGTCGTTAAATAACATATAGAGAATATTGAATGAGTGTAAGTTTAATATTGAATTTTTTATTCTCCCCGAAAAATTTCGGGGGAGCATATAGTCGGCGCCTTGTCCGTCTGTCCGTCCGTCCGTTGTCTTGTCCGGAGCATAACTTGAAAACCCTTGGAGATAATTTGTTGAAACTTCATACAGTAGTAGAGGGCATCGAGGGGGAGTGCAGTGTCAAAGAACCATAACTCTATTTTGCCCGGTTTTTGAATTATCTCCCCTTATAGAAAAATCTTGCCAGGGGCATAACTCTAAAACTATAAGAGATATTAACATGAAACTTTGTAGGTGAATAGATCTCAATGGGTAGATGTGCAGTGCAAAAGAACCATAACTCTGTTAAGCCTTATTTTTGAATAATCTCCCCTTTTAGAAAAATCTTGTCCAGGACATAGCTGTAAAACTATAAGAGATATCAACATGAAACTTTGTAGGTAGATAAATCTCAATGGGTAGATGTGCAGTGCACAAGAATTATAACTCTACCTTGCCTAATTCTGGAGTTATTGCCCTTTGTTTATTTTTACTTTTTGAATTGTCCAGGACGTAACTTGGAAATCATAAGAGATATCATCAAGAAACTTTGTAGGTTGATAGATCACATTGATTAGAAGTGCAGTGCAAAGAACTGTTACTCTGCCTTGCCTAATTTTGGAATTATTGCCCTTTGAACTTTTTCCACGGACATAACTCTGAAACTACAAGAGGTGTACTTTCCTGTGTCCAAAACCTATTCGGGGAGCATCACCCGGCTCAAACTGGGCTCTTGTTTAACGAGTTTTTTAAACTTACACTAATTTAATATTCTGTTTATCACATACCAAGAATGAAGTACGTTTGATGTAAGAAAAGAACCATTTTTAGCTCGACTATTCGATAAGAGTAAGTAGAGCTATTGTAGTCAGCCGGGCATCAGTGTCTGCGTCGGCGTAACCACTTATGTTAAAGTTTTTGTAATAGTTCAAATATTTTCAAAGTCCATTGACATATGGCTTTGAAACTTTACACACTTGTTCACCATCGTTACCCCAACCTGTAAACAGGAGGAGGTAATTGTATCAAGCATTATTTTTTTACTATCAAGCACTAAGAATAGTCGAGCGTTGCTGTCCTACCGACAGCTCTTGTTCATTGATGCGCCTATAATATAATGCTAACATTTAGCACATCTTGACATTATGTTTATATACCAAAAATGACGTCACATCAAAATATATTCATGGCCGTTCAATACCATTGTTTTTACAGAGTCGCAAAATCATCAAGGGTGTATGACAAAATATATTATGTGTATGCCTAAGTAACAAAAGTTATCAGAATGTCTTGCTCTTCATGCTTTTGTGGGTTTGAACTCAGTCAGAGGCCTCATTTCATGTGATGAAACTATCCTACTAGCTTACAGACGGAAAATGGTGGTTCTACTGCTGAATCTGTTAGAACTTGCAATATTGTCCAGAGACATCTAAGATCTTCTTCCGCCAGTAATGTGTTTAACATGTGTGTAATATAACAGATTAAGCAAAAAATCATCTTTCCTTATTTTGGCACCATTTGCCTTAAAGGCACATTGTGCCTCAAAAATGAACAAATTTTTACTTATTAAGACAGGGCAAATATGACTTTTACAACATTTAAATAATGGTTTTAGAATATGCTAGATACTGGTTACCTGAAGAATGTAGCTGAAAATGTGAAATTATTTTTCATAAAAGTAACAAAATGTACATGTAAACAAAGTAGTATTTTGACTGCCATACAAATTACTAAATCTCTATAGCTAATTTATTGCCTTAAATCAACAGTAGAAAAAAAGATCAAGTTGTTGGCCAATTTGTATCTTTTTGAACAAGAGAGAAGTAAAACTATTTAGAAATAGAAATAAAGACATTTTTTGGGCATAATAAATTGTGGGCATTTAAATTGGTTTTTGTTGGTGCTCTGTAAAACCAAAAGAATATTATTTAACAAATCCAACAAGAAAAACATGATTTTTGTATCTTTTGCAGTTATTTATAAAAGATAACCAAGAAGGAGGGGAGGTAACTCAGTTGGATTATCTTGGTTTTATTGGAACTCCCGTAGGTGCGACAAATATGAGTGATTTTAAAAGGGTAAGAATAATAAGAGGATATTTTTTCGTTTGTGTGAAATATGGAATATATTTTCATGAAACATGATAAAGTGCCACATATTTTTTACGAGCCGGTACGGGGAGTGAAAATATGTTGCATTTTATCATGTTGAATGAAAATATATACCATATTTCACGAAAAAAAAAACCTTTTTATTTAATTTCATTATCAAAGAAAATGGTAACGAATCCCCTTGCTTGCTAACAACTGCAATTGTACAGCGCGCAGTAATTTATGCGTAAGCACGTGCTGTTTGGCGCTACGCTGTGACGTCATGTAAACAACTCTTTAAACGTGTGTACAGCATTAATTACTGAAATAAGGATATTGGTGTTCGGATTAATTTTCTTAGTTAGACCATTTTCTATCATGCTAGATAGTTTCAAAACAATATTCAAGAAAAAGTTGTTTTGTATTTATCAGTTTTTTCAAACAAAAAGGCGAAAGAAGTCCCTTAAAATAAATATGAGTTTTGACTTCGCCCATTTTCATATTTATATTTCATATTTATTTTTAAAAAATATGAAATATATTTGACTGATATAGCACCATATTTCATGGGTAAAATTAAATAATTTATCTTATTTCTTGATCATAATTAATTAAAACACTTCAGTATATTTCATTTAATTGCATAACCCTTTGACTGGCCCAGAATTTGATTTTGGAACAGTCCATTCAAAATTTAAGGGATTTCAATATCAATATAAAAAAATTAACTACTAACAGTATACAGTCTGGACAGACTGCACGGATGTGTGCGCTTGCTCAGCTCCCTACTGATTGAAGTGGCATATTTCTGGGCGAAGGAACAGTTGGAGAACAGTTCATTAGTGATACTATTAGGATTTTGTGAATCTTTTTTAGTTTGATTGTCTTGGAAGCTGTAAGTGTATTGAAACACACACGAATTTGTTCCTGAAAGCAACCAGCATTAAGCAATGAATGTAAAGTTTCTGGCTCAAGGAAACAAGGGCTTGCCCCTGACTGGGTTTGAACCAACGCAGTAAGCAATCCTTAGATAATTAGTCTGGCATTTTAACCACACGGCCACGCCGCCATTCTAAATTTGCTTTTAGCTGAATAGTTCCATTCTTCATGTTGATTTCAAAAAATTGTAGCTACTGTGTACATGTATGATAAAAACATTAAAATAAGGACCTAGGTCACTGGGGAACACATTTCAGGCTTGGCCAAATAGGGACAATTTTTGCAAGAATTTAAAGCGGCGCGGGCTAAGAGCTGGTCTGATGCAAGTAATTTACACCTTGATCTAGAAATATTACACTCGTTTGTTCCGGGAACATTCAAGAGTGTTTGATATATAAGCTAATAGCCTTCAACACAAACTGAAACAAATTGTTATAAATTGGCATACATCACTTAAAATTATTCATCAAGGCAATGGCAGTCAAGGTTTTTAAATATTTCTCTCTTTTTTTTTCTGTATCTACAGGTTGCTGGCAAGAAGGGTGAAAGTCACTGACACTGTGATATTGAGAATGAACTCGTTTTTGTCTTTTGTGTTTTTTTTTTACAAGTTAAATTATCTGAACGTTTACAATTTACATGAGTTAAGACTTACATATAAACATTGCAATCAGATGTAAGTTGATTAATAAAAGTGGTTCTTATGCATAATTAAAGAAATAAACAATACATTAACAAAATGATATAAGCATTTATGTGTTTTTAGTTCAACTGAGCACTAAATGGTCAGAGATGAGTTTTCGTGTTTGTGTTATGTTTGTTACTCTGGTGAAAGAAAATCATCCTTGAATATTACAAATGGTGTCAAGGGTTAAGGGAAGTTACTATGATGAAAGAAGTCAGAATGGGTAACTTCCCCTGAAAATTACATGTATAAATTATGAGTGAGATGGAGCACCACACTAAATACCGTTTCCGGTATTTACCGGACACCGCGCTTGAATGATAAAATTCTGAAATCTTGCCTTTATACCCTACGGAATGAACTTTAAAAGGTCTAATTCATCTTTTCACACCGATTTATGTACGATAATGAATGAAAAAAAATAAAATCGGCGAAAAAACGAAATTTGTCTATTTTCTGATAATGATTTCTGCAAGCGTCTAGAGGTACTGCTCCAATCCTGTATTGAGTTAAATCCATAAATTATATTAAAATAGCCTAGAAGGCAAAGGGGAGAAATCGGTATAGAATTAAGTCAACAAGAGTAACTCCCCCTGAAAATTACAAATGGCATCAAGGGACAAAATAACTCTGATAAATGAAGCCAACATAACGTGGCTCCCTGAACACAATTTGTGTGTACATTGCAAGTAATTGTATTCATTAATGTTTTACTTAAAATGATTTATAAAATAAATACCAATCGCATAAAATACAAGACTGGTTGACCAAATTGAATCATGTACTGATAACAGATCACGTGCCATGTACAAAAAACATTAGTATGAAATAAACTTGCTCAACAAATTCAAGCATTTACATACATTTGTACTATTTTTTTACAAGTAATTTTTTTAGCGTGTGTAAGACCAAAATCACATATCCGTTCTGATTATTCATACTATTGTGTTCTAAGTCCTAACCCGAAGATTTACGGAAAAACCCGAGATGTGATTGGCTCTCCCAATTGAGCAAAGCTGCTGAACCAGAAAAGATGCAATTGGTGTATTTTGCAAGATAGCGCCGATTTCTAGCATCAACTTCTACCAAGCACATCCGTACACCAACTCACTCATTTTTTGATCTCGGACATCATGACGATGACTCATGTTAGTGGGGTTGTTTATATTTCGCGTAATGCAATTGAATCCATTGTGTTATATTTGATTAACTTCTCTTCACACACGTTATTGTTAAAACAAATGATAGTTATTATACCAACACTTTATTACTTATACAAAGTATGTCAGAATGTTTTATCCATAGAGATTCATTTTGTTTTCTATCCAGCTGAGGAATTGCGTCACTCGGGTGTATACGCCTGGTTTCCGTGCCTCACCACACCCTGTGCCCCATGATACAACACCGGCTAATTTCCATACACCGTCCCGCTTACAAATGAGTGGCCCGCCAGAATCACCCTGTGTTTTTCAAGTTAAAATAAAATGTTCAAACCATGCTTGAATTGATAACATGTACTTTTGGGATAATCGTCACGTTTATACATGTATATGTTTTTTTCTCTCTATTTTACAAAACTGCGTTTTTGTAACGTCACTTTACATAGGATGATATTGACGTTTCGATTTTTATACACGGCTTATGAAAAAATATGAAAGAAATCATTCTCCTTTTCTCTACACGTGAAATTTGATGTACTATTAATTCCTTACAAACGACTGTTAGCAATATAATCATCCCCTGACGGCTCGGGTTATATATACAAATGTATGTATAATCTACCGTATATATATGGCCATATAACCTGTCAAAAATCTTTAAAACTGATGATGTACACAGTTGGTGCAAATCAATGTTTTAGTTCGGTTAAATAAAAAAAAGGCCACACACTCCATGCATATCTATGGAGTATATAATTTCTGTTTAAATGACAAGGTAACCGTACAGTTCAAATTATAATTCCGTTATAAGGACTTTTTTACAGGTTATATGACCATATACATAATTATAATGATGCATATATGGCCGTGTATAATCCGTAAATCGATTGTTTGCCATATAAACTAACAGCCGTTTATATTTGGCCATATAACATGTCAAAATAGCCTTTATAACCATTTTTATATGAACTACATTTGAATGAAAGAGGAATATTACCAAACATGGACCTTTTCCACCGGTCTGGGTCACTCCTGCACAGATGTTTGTGCTTCGAACGCTACTGGCTCCCATATAATAGCTACATTCAGCGTTCGAGATTGTTCTAAGATTTATGTATTCTAGCTGGTCAGTTACTTTGGCATGTCCAGTTGGATCTATTTACAAAACATAGACTGTAACAACAAAAGCTAAAACTAATTACGATACCCTTATGCTAAATGGCGTAGACCGCTTTGGATTTTTATCGTTATAAATGTCTTTAAAATTTCACACATAAGTCGTATATATATATAAGTTCTATGTAAAGGTATTCGTGTTATACATGTATGTCAGTCTGAAGATTATTTGCAAAGCCAGGATGCTGATGTTGCAAAACTATTGCTTGTTTAATATTATTAATTATAGTTATATTATTTTTTATCAGTGGTGATAAAATGCACCACTTAAAAACATTTCAGTGACAACCATTGGCATTTTTTATGTCAGCAAGAGCAATTTCCCTTTAAGACATCCGAAGACTGACGGAAAGGGCCGAAAAGTTGCGATTGACAGACCCACTGACTTACCGTAATAAGTGGTTCCCCATCCGGAAACAATGCACATATCAGCCGGGAACTGGTCGGCCGGTTGAGGAAGACAGGCTGGTCTAGTTAAACTACAATAATAGTTAAAACAAATTATGAAGGCATAGATTTGTAATGTAAAAGCATATTTTTTTGATGCTGTTGAAATCAACAAAAACGTTTTTTTTTTCAGACTATCGGGGCATCTTGTTATAAATCGCAATTGAGGGTATGTACTAGCATTTTAAAAATTTTCCAATGTAAACTGTGTTTTATGACATGTGAGCAATAAAACCTCTGTGGCGCGACCCTCTTGAGAACAAAAACCTCTTGACAGTAACCCAATGTAATCTTTCACAAAACAATTTACCTCTGTAGAACAACCACCTCACATCATCAACAAAATATTGTCATATTTTTTTTTCAAATGTTCTTTTGTAAATGCATGACAATGAAATTGAACAGGCTATAAATGTACAGAAAACTTTACAAAAAGTCGTATTTATAATTGTCTGCAGCAATACACAATTAGCTGTTCGTGGTGACATTTGTTACAATAAGAAGAGTATGCTTATCTTATAACAATGTGTTATAGAAGTGATTTTTCAAATAAAGACCAATATTTATACGTATATAACCAATAACAGAATTAATACTGAAGTAGAACATATAAATGAAAATTGATCATATCAAAACAAATGCTTTATGTATATACAAAGCTGAAACAAAAGTTAAGATGTTGTAAACGAACAAAATTCCCAACCAGCATAAGATTGCCAAATTGGGTGAATTATTTGGATTAAATTTAGTATCATGCTGCCAGCCGTCAGTTGTGAATTAAATTTAGAGGCATACTACCTACCGTCCAGTGACATCTATCCGCTTACTAAGTTTCATAAGTGCAATATCATAATTATTGGTGGTTTTATCAAAGAACTCGTGCGGGTGAATTGATTCCACGTGCACTGTGTTGGCCGTTGTGATGAATCTTTGATCCTTGACACCAAGAGCAATTTGCCATTGGCTTGCAACGTGTCCGCGTCTAAAATAAAATATAAGTCCTGTTAACAGAAAAATACGAACTGCTATTTAAACGACATATAAGCAGTTATTTCTCCATACAATAATATTAAGAGGATATTTTTTCGTTTGAGTGAAATATGGAATATATTTTCACGAATCATGATAAAATGCCACATATTTTCACGAGCCGGGACGGCGAGTGAAAATATGCGGCATTTTATCATGTTGAGTGAAAATATATACCATATTTCACGAAAACGAAAAAATAACCTTTTTATTTAATTTCATTATCAAAGAAAAATGGTTACGAACCCCAACTGCAATTTTACAGCGCGCAGCAATATATTATTGCGTCTTGTTTTGCACGCGATATTTGGCGCTACATTGTGACGTCACGTAAACAACTGTTTAAACGTCTGTACAGCGTTAATAACTGAATTAAAGATATTGGTGTCCGGATTTATTTTCTTAGTTAGACCATTTTTTATCATTCTAGATAGTTTTCAAAGCAAAATTCAACAAAAATTTGATTTGTATTTATCAGATTTTTCAAACAAAATGGCGAAAGAAGTCCCTTAAAATGAATAATAGTTTTGACTCCGCCCACTTTCATATTTATATTTCATATTTATTTTTAAAAAATATGAAATATATTTGACTGATATAGCACCATATTTCATGGGTAAAATTAAATAATAGAACAAATTCAATGGCTCTTTGAGTAGTGAGACAAATCATTGGAACTTTAATCAAGCACTTTCGACTAGCTTATCAAGGCCAAAGAAAACGGGGCTTTTTAACCCACTATGTTCTTTTACCTTAATTCTTACTGTTAATGTATATTTATCTGTTTAAAGTTGTGAATTTTATATACAATCGAATTCCATGTTTTGTGCATATTTGCATTAGGTCGTGTCTCATTGCTGTTTATTGGTATTTATTTCAAAACATAATATCTTATGTATATTGGATATTGCATGAGATGCCACAGTGGAAAACAGCTCACTCGCGTGACAAAAATGTAATAAAAATTAAGTGGTGCGAAAGAACGATTCATAAGTTTCGTAATAATTTAAGTTGAAAACTCACTCTTTGAAACAATGGGAAGCTGTAACGACCCATTGGTCATTGATTAATGTCCCGCCGCACACATGCTGACCATAAAATCTCAAAGATACCTGTAACAACACTTGGAATAAGAAGCGAACAAAATGACAAACATATCTAGAAACAAGCATGAAGCAACAACAGTTACTGAAAGATGAATATTTTTACAACAAAAGAGGTTAATATGATGTTATAACTTAAAAATATACTGGATGTACATCTTTAAAAAGCATTTTTTGTCACAAATTTCTGTTTTCGTTTGCTATCTAAATGTATATATTCTTTTATTCAAAAAAGATACAGAAACTGCATTTTGTTATATATCCGACACAGGAATGCATAAAGGAACACATGCAGCGGTTATCATTGTCGTCATCTTTGATTTCTCTGTTCGCCACCATTTATGCCAACTTATGCCGGCGGATTAGGACACTTCAAAAAAATTTCGGAACATTTTGGTATATGACATGCCTTGTTTAAGTATGGGCCGGGGGTAGCACCTATAAATACGTTCGACTTTTCGTAATTATCACTGTACCATCAACACAATATAGGCAAAATTACCATGTTTGTCCCAAAAAGTACAACGGCAATGTCATTTGTTGGCATTGATATCACACAATGTGGAATTACTTGCCCGAAGTCATTGGGTTTACAAAATGTGGTTTAAGAGACTTTTACCTGCCAAGGAAATTCCCCTAGTTGTGCATAACTACCTCCAACGATCCTATGAGCGGTTGAACCAACAAGGCTTGTGCCACATTGTTTACTTCCGGAAGAGCTGAAAACGATACAGGAATAATATTTTCCTTAATAGAATTACAGAACAAAACGTCGATCGATGTGTTTTGTTAAGTATCCACCAAACGGAATCTTCTTTACAATTGGTCACCGTGTACAACCATTAAAAGTGATTTGCGACTGAAACACCGATGTAAAGTAATACTTTATTTTGTTCTGATAATGTGGAAGTACATGCACCAACTAGAAAAATCATATAGATTTGAAAGCAAAATTCATTTTAAACAAATAATAATAATAATAATAATAAATACAAATAATCTAGATCCAAATATGTACTGGGTGACAACATGTCATTTTACCACCACCATGATGTTTTTGCCTTTGTCACCATAGCAAATCAGTTGCAAACAGTTGCTTATTTGTTAATTAATTTGAACCAAGTATGAAACCTCTACCTTGGAAACGCTGTGTTAGCGGGTGGCCAAACTGGTGCCGTAGGAGCATGTGTCCAGAATGGCGCTGACGTCAGAGGAGCGGAAGTGACGTAATGTGTGGTCTGATAGTAACAGCACATTTGATACACTCCGCAATAGTTTAACGTGTAAACATGACCAGCAGTGCAAGCTCCGTTCAGACCACTGTACAGGTCGTAACAAGTACCATGGTAAAATGAATTACAGACTGAAATTATAAAAAGAATATTGCCATTACATTCGGAGGTAGTATGTATACCAATCTGATTAAAATCAGATCTAAATAACACTAGATGCTTTTAGATCTGACCGTGACCAAATACGAAATCATTTCTGGTGACATTTCACACAGCCAATCCATTTAGCCGACAGGTAGACTGGCAAAACAACTTTGACCATTAAAGATTGACTATGTTTTCATGTTAATTTGTCAAAAATTACTTCAAACTTGTTTATTCTAAAAAAAATCAACAATTTCTTTGCCTTTCACGGATACGGTATTTTGATACTTCTTCTAATGCTATTAAAAACCTGTGATTGCATGGCTAAAATAACTTTCTCGGAAAATCCGAACTATAAAGAAAGCAAAACATATAAGGTCGTCATCAATTCTACATTTAAATATTGAGAGATCTGAATTTTAGCCAGGTTGTGTGATGTTCATCACATTTAGAGATAACATAGTCTAATATCCCTAATCATATACTGTAATTGAGGTCTTTGTGAGAGAAAAAAACACACACACAAAGAGAAGTGTAACTGATCTTGTATGACAATAATTTGCTTTATAAATGTTGAGATAATATTTAAAAGCATTCTTGAAACTAGATCAGAATATCTTCGGTTTTGAAGGACAGCATATTTTATCGCGGGAGACAGGATTGACTGTTTGATAGGCAAAACGACAAGAAGTTTAGATTGCATCCACTAGTGACTAATGATTCTACTAAATGATTGCTATTTTACTCTCATTTATTGTATATAGTTGTATATTTGAGCCGCGTCATGACAAAACCAACATAGCGGGTTTGCGACCAGCATGGATCCATCTGCGCAGTCTGATCAGGATTCATGCTGATCGCTATCAGTTTCTCTACTTGTAATAGGGTTTATAAGCGAACAGCATAGATCCTGATCGGACTGCGCGGATGCACAGGCTGGTCTGGATCCATGCTGGTCGCAAACCCATTATGTAGGTTTTGTCATGACGCGGCTCATTTATAATTTTCACAAATTATTTTTCGGTATGGGCCTAGTTTGCTGTGCTTATTGGGTGTCAAATGGAAATGTTAGATCTATGTATAAGTCCCGAATCGTGAAATCTTTTGAAGTCTCGTTTATATCCGCATATGCAATGTATTATTATACATATACATTTGTACATGTTCTATTAAACATATTATTTATTCGTATGATTACTTTGTCTTAGTCATTAAGCTCCATAGGACATAAGGAATTTCATATTCTATGTGTGCATGTTTACATATACAGTATTTTAAGCAAAATTTTAGCTGCATCATATGTCAAAGAATACATCATTAAAGTCATAGTTTCCTCAAACAAATTGTTTTAAGTGTTACAAAATACACATAAACTTACTAAGTACTGGAGTCATACATACTGTTAGCCCCTGCAGTCTGTAGCACAGCTATCAAACAGATAAAGTACACTATCACCATGGTCCCCATGTCCAGATGTAAGTCCAACAAGTCTTTGTGGTAGTGTTATCTTTTTATATGTTCCTCAGCAATCGGGGCAGTGTCATGTTCAACATATGCTTATCTAGATAAATTTTCATCTTTACCTTTACACTATATAGATTAAAGATCCAGTGTTATCTATACTAGCTGTTACTAACTGACATTAAGGATGACCCTCATGTACACATTTTAGGTCAGACACAAAAAAATACAAGATCAAATTTTCGAAAAGATAAGCCACATATTTAAAAGAAATATTTAAAATGAAGGATCATTTGCAACGACTTACGTCATGTAAGCGGTAAGTGATCTGGGACAAGCTACGTGTATCTTTCAGATAGGAAAGAATTTTCTTTGATGTATCAATGCACATATACGCTCCAGATTCCTGGATCCACCATTCCTTCAACGTCTTAACAAAAACGTCATATAAGCTACGTTTTTTGACTGCGCTTTTCTGTGACGGACAATTGTTATGAGTATGTTATTGTGTTGTTGACGGCAGATGGTGGCGACTCTTCAAATACTTATGATCGCGCACATCTGGTGTTTTCATTTATCAAAGTTAAAGGGACTCAACTGAGGTTTTTAAAATAACGGGACTGGAAATAAGTTTTCAAGATTGATTTTCTATTTGCTGTATTTTCGGAAATTTCACATCTATACGGCTTGACAAATAAACCTCGAATGCCCGCTTTACTAATTACAAGAACCTCGTGCACTAGTGCCGCCAAAAACATAACTTCCGATTTCTTCCTTATAAGGAAATACTAAGTTACGGTGTATGATTCCGATAATAAATACATATATTGAGTTGACGTGTAAGTTGCGTTTAAGTTTTTATAAAAGCTCGACAAAGCAACAATCAATGTTAAGATATAACTATAAATGCAAAGCAGATATAAAGTCTTAATCCTAAACTGATATCAAAACGTCATATCAGCAACTTAAATAGTGCAAATGTAAATAATGTTTTTTTCCATATTTGGTCTGTGCCACCTAGTTTTTTACCCTAGATGACCTTGACCTAGAAACATTGCCTTCAAATTTTCAAGATATTTGCGATGAAAACATTATACTTATAGTGATAACTTTTTCATATTTGGTCTCTGATGCCTATTTACGCCAGATGACCAATATTCAAAGTTGAGCAAGAATTCAACAAAGTTATGGTTATTAATGAGGGTTTTGCTGTAGAAAGGTTAAATTTATTGCGAAATCTTTCTTTGGGGACATTGCTATCGTTGTTGTACTATAAATATAATATAATTATGTACATGAAATGAGTTTATTTCAGGGAGAAATTATCTGTGTCTTTGCCTATTTATAATTTTCAAAATTCGTTTCCTTTTTAGCTCACCTGTCACAAAGTGACAGGGTGAGCTTTTGTGATCGCTTTTCGTCCGGCGTCCGTCCGTCGTCCGTCCGTCCGTCAAATAAAAGCCCTGGGGTCAAAATTGGCTCCGCCCCAGGGGGTCATTGATTTTCCCTATATGCATATAGTGAAAACTTAAAAAATCTTCTTTTAAAGAACCCAAAGAGCTAGAGCTAAGATATTTGGCATGAAACATCTTCTAGTGAGTGTCTACCAAGTTTGTTCAAATAAAGGCCCTGGGAACAAAATTGGCTCTGCCCCAGGGGGTCATAGATTTTCCCTATATGCATATAGTAAAAACTTAAAAAATCTTCTTTTAAAGAACTGTAAGAGCTAGAGCTAAGATATTTGGCATGAAACATCTTCTAGTGCATGTCTACCAAGTTTGTTCAAATAAAAGCCCTGCGGTCAAAATTGGCCCCGCCCAGGGGGTCATTGATTTTCCCTATATGCATATAGTAAAAACTTAAAAAATCTTCTTTTAAAGAACCCAAAGAGCTAGAGCTAAGATATTTAGCATGAAACATCTTCTAATGAGTGTCTACCAAGTTTGTTCAAATAAAAGCCCTGAGGTCAAAATTGGCCCTGCCCCAGGGGGTCATAGATTTTCCCTATATGCAAGTAAAAACTTAAAAATCTTCTTTTAAAGAACCGTAAAAGCTAGAGCTTAGATATTTGGCATGAAACATCTTCTAGTGAATGTCTACCAAGTTTGTTCAAATAAAAGCCCTGGGGTCAAAATTGGCTCCGCCCCAAGGGGTCATTGATTTTCCCTATATGCATATAGTAAAAACTTAAAAAATCTTCTTTTAAAGAACCCAAAGAGCTAGAGCTAAGATATTTAGCATGAAACATCTTCTAATGGGTGTCTACCAAGTTTGTTCAAATAAAAGCCCTGGGGTCAAAATTGGCCCTGCCCCAGGGGGTTATTGATTTTCCCTATATGCATATAGTAAAAACTTAAAAAATCTCTTTTAAAGAACCGTAAAAGCTAGAGCTTAGATATTTGGCATGAAACATCTTCTAGTGAATGTCTACCAAGTTTGTTCAAATAAAAGCCCTGCGGTCAAAATTGGCCACGCCCCAGGGGGTCATTGATTTTCCCCATATGCATATAGTAAAAACTTAAAAAATCTTCTTTTAAAGAACCCAAAGAGCTAGAGCTAAGATATTTAGCATGAAACATCTTCTAATGGGTGTCTATCAAGTATGTTCAAATAAAAACCCTTGGGTCAAAATTGGCCCCGCCCCGGGGGTCATTGATTTTCCTTATATGTGTATAGCAAAATCTTATAAATCTTCTTTGAAAAAACCCAAATAGCTAGAGTTTAGATATTAAGCATGAAACATCTTTAAGTAAATATCTACAAAGTTTGTTCAAATAAAAGCCCTGGGGTCAAAACTGGCCCTGCCCCAGGGGTGTCATTGTTTTTAACTATATGTGTATAGTAAAAACTTAAAAAATCTTCTTTTTAAAAAAAAACCCAATGAATTAGAACTTAGATGTTTAGCATGAAACATCTTCTTATGGCTGTCTACCAAGTCTGTTCAAATAAACAAATAAAAGCCCTTGGGTAAAAATTGGCCCGGGGGGGGGGGGCTATATACAGGTGAGCGACCTCAGGGCCATCATGGCCCTCTTGTTCTATTATGACATAAAATTTTAGACCGCTAAATTTGGATTTTATGTCAAATACAGTAGAACTTCGGTAAGTCGAAGTTGAAGGGACTTGCGTAAAAACTTCGACACATCGGGACTTCGACTCATGAATCGCTCTCAATTTCATGACAAAATTTCGACCCGTGACTAGTCTATAATGAAACCTATTTCTTGTTTTTTCCTCATTAATCTGATATTCACATTTTACAATGATAAATATAGCATGTTAAATAACGTTTTTTTTATTATTTGGACTACCCGTTGACGTATACAATAGAGTTACAAAAGGCGTAACAATACGAAAGGGCGATAACTTAACCAACTTATAGTATAAATTTCGCGTGTTATTCTCACGTGACACCGGATCAAGGATGTAATCAAATGAAAGTAGTTCTTACTGTTTACTTTCAAATACCACTACGGCAATTAAAATAGAAACGATTAAAGCATTTTATCACACATTTTATCGCAAACAAAGGCTGTTTGAACACACGGCTGTATAATTAACACCTGCCACACAAATTGATTGGAAATCGTCTTCGCAGACAGATAAGGTGTGAAAAATGTCTAAAGATCGACGGTGTCAAAATAATCGAACAACTTCGACTTATTTGTGGTAAATTGCACTAGATTTACTTAATACGGACCACGAAAAAACTTCGACACATCGAAAAATTCGACACATAAAATCTCGACTCATAAATAGGTTTCTATAAGGAATATATAGGGGGAAAAGTCGGGACTTTAATTTTTCTTCGACACATCGAGAAAATCGACTAATCGAAGTTCGACTCATAGAAGTTCTACTGTATGTTCGAAGGAGCCGCTGGTTCTTGAGCCTGGATTCATCCTTCAACAATACCCCCCCCCCCCCCCAACGTTGGAGTAGGGTTGGGTATCCCGCTCGCAGCAACCTGATTTTTCGAACATTTTCAAAAACTTCTGTTTTTACAAAACTCTCTTATTCAGTTATATTGGAAAGTTTAATATTTCTTTACTTTTTACACGAAGTATTTGGCATAGTTTTAACAGTTGAACACATGCTTAGAAATGTTATTACTATAAGTAATATGGAACGTTTTTTTTTTGACTTTTGTCTTAACAAAAAGTTGTTATGTAGATTTATATCCAGAATTTTGTCTTTGCTGGATGGGAAAATAAACGGTTAGTGGGGACGGCTTACAAATACTCCCTTTGGCTATTTTAAACTCTGAGTTGTGTTGTTTATTATTTTAAAGGTGTACTATTAAAGAATGTGAATGCTTTATGTTCGTTTGAGTGTAACGAATTAGAGCATAAATACACCTTTTTTATCAAATGAAAGTGCATTACTCGTCGACTCTCGAGTGCTCAGTTGATCTTATTATATATTCGTGGTTATATGTTTGCATGCATTTCATTGAAAACAGACTTGTTTACTTTTACATCATTCATATTTCTTGGTGTGATTCATGTTTCATGTAGCTGCTTATATGAAATGCTTGACTTTCGTTTACAGAATGACCCCACTAAAATACCACGTACAATTCACGAAAGAGGTTATCCCTCAAGAGCAAATACAAACCCCTCTGTTTTATGTAGACTATGTTCATAATTGATAGCAAAAACTCTATTATCTCTAACATCCTCCCTAGCACCGGCTAAAGCGGTGTTAACCGGCCAGAGGGTTTTATTTATTAAATCCCACTGAGATAAAGAACGGACGAGACAGCATTTTACATTTTGCCACACATCGCGTAACACCTGTTACTGTGAGTATAAAAACCTAGAAAGGGGAGATTACTCGAGATCGGTTGTCGCAATATTTTCACCAGATCATTTCTTTGACATGTTAAAACTTTGTAATTAAAGTAGTATTACTGTAACAAGTACGATACACCCTGGAAACAGCAGTAAATTGTTAGGCTAGTAAATAATTCTATCATTTTCCGATTTCAAACAAATTAAAGGCCCTTAATGCCACAGAAATGCTATAATTTTCATTTCTCAAAAACTTTTTATTTTTTGATCTCTTGTTCTAAAAAAAATCTAATTTGCCAAAATTGATGAATTATGTTTGCCCCTTTTGCTTTGTTGGCAATTGGTATAATTACAGGGAATACATATTCGGTATGGAAGTCAAAATACTGCATTGTTTACATTTTGCTACATTAACGACACATTACTGCCCAATCAGCGCTACTTTCTTCAGCTATGAAACATCTAACATACCCTAATTCAATTATTAAAAGTTTATTAAATGTTTGACATTTCTAAATAATTATATATACATGTATTTGAATTTCTGAGGCATAATGTGCCTTTAAAGAAAATTTGTTAATATGTAATCTAAACAATTTAATATGTTTTAAATGTCAAATTCTTTGAAAATGCTTAATAATTTAAAATTTTTACCAAATTAATAAAATAACGAGTACCTTGTAAATGACATCTGAAACGTTTATGGTCAATCAATTTTTTAATAATTAGAGTTCTAAAAGGGCTTGTTAAAGACAATAAAAAACGCTTTTAAATATAAAATTAAGCAATTATTTAATTACCAGTTATGTTACACCTATGCCACTTAATTACGTGGTATACATTCAAATTTTTCTCACAACTCTAAATGGATAAAAAAAACAAACAACAACAACAACACAGCAATGCTATAGTTTCGTACAATTATTTAGTAGAATAACATTTCATTCAAACACACGGCAAATATTTCAGAAACACTCAACCGTACATGCTCATTTTGTTGTTGATCCAGCTTAGATATGACGTCACTCGCGTGTAAACGCCGGGACGACGAGCCTTGCCGCAACCATCACCCCACGAGACCACACCAGCAAGCTCCCAGACACCATGACGCTTACAGACAAGCGGGCCACCGGAATCTCCCTGAATCAAAATAAAAATCACAAATTAGTTTATGATATTTATCTACATACTTCAGACAGGAATATTGTGTTAAAGGCCTATTAAACCGCAGAAATGCTTATATTTCATTTCTCAAAAGATTTTTTGTGTTCTTTCATAGTTTCCAAAATGTAATCATTGGCTAGTAAATTGAACCTTCTATTTTTCTTCTTTTACAGTTTGACAATAAGTACAGTTATAGTGAATAAGTATTGTGTACGGTCAAAATACTACTTTGATTATATTTTTACCACTTTTATGACAAATAACGTGCCTTTAATATTGTTCAAGCCTTTTTTGTGAGGCATTTGGAAACAACCAGCGAACATTTATAAGATGTATGTAACAGAATCACCGTTTGAGCCATTTCTTCAGTTTCATGCTTTTATTTGCATGTCAATCTGTTACAAAAGTTCCATAGTTAACAACTTTTAAAAATACTTTTAGTACAAAAACATGTGACCCGGCCCTGGGCGTAAATGAATTTCAATGATGAAACATAAATCCATGTTAACATTTGATATTTGTGACTTGAGATATCGATACAATATCTAGTGGTCTTCAGCCTACTTAAAACGCAAACAAATATAGTGTCCTTACTTGACAAGCATCTTTCCCGCCGGTAGATGTCACTCCAGCGCAAATATTTGAAGTGTGGACATTGTTATATCCGAGATAATACTTGCAGTCGTTGTTTGAAATGGTTCTTAGATTAACGTATTCTAATTGGTTGGTGATTGGTGCACGTCCATCAGGATCTATTTATAGACAAAAAATCTATTTATAGACAACAACTTATCTATTTATAGACCAATCTCATTAAAATCATATCCTAACTGTCGCTTCACTACCCTACGCTCGTAGCGAAGAGTAACGGAGCAAAAACGATGATCTGATTTTAATGAGATTGTTTATAGACGAAAACGTGAATAATTATATTAATTTTGTCAATTTATCTTTAAATCGTTACAAACGGGTGTACAAACATTATCTGTAAATTCATAACATTTTCCAATGTAACACTTATTTACAAACAGAAAAAGCCTATAATATCTTGTAGATGTAATGTTGTAAACGCAGAAAAAGGGAAGAGACTTCGATCCTCAACGTGACATACATGAATGTACGAGTTACTATAAAAATTAGTGTTGAATTATTATGTCGAAAGACTTTATAAATAAAGGTTACTACTACAGTAAATTTTTAAATCAAATAAAAATCTTTGACAAAACAGAATTCAGGAAAACAATTATTTTTGATATCTGACAAATATGATACGAATGGAACAATGTCAAAATGTATGAGCAATTAATTAGTTTTATAGAAACACAAGTTGAATGCTTACCGTAACGGGTGGCTCCCCAACCGGAGACCGTGCATATATCAGCGGAGAACGTGTCACTAGATTGGGGGAGACAGGCTGCTCTAGCATATCTGAGGAAACAATGAACATTATGAAGATGCTTTTCTAAATAATAAAAGAATCATACACATACTCTTTATATTAAACGCATTGGATTTAACTCAATACAGGACTGGAGCAGTACCACTAGACGATTGCAGAAATCATGATCACAAACTAGACAAATATATATATTTTTTCGCGTTTTATTACATTTTTCATTCATCATCATACATAAATCGGTGTGAAAAGATGAATTAGACCTTTTGAAGTTTATTCTATTGAGTAAAGGAAAGATCTTAGCATTTTATCATTCAAGCGCCTTGTCCGGTAAATACCGTAAATTTACGGTATTTAGTTTGGTGCTTCAATACTTTTTTAGTCTCACTCGAACCAAGGTCTTTCAAATAGAAGGACGAACGTATTTACATGAATTAGTATATATTAGATTCAAATGGGTTTTGTGCATGCTCTTTTAAAAGCAAATTCAGCTATTTTATAGGGTGTCCGTCTCTCAACCCAGGGATCATGGATTTGAGCCCTGCTCATGTCACGACTATGTTTCCTCACATGAAACAAGTACAGGTTGGTTCCTCGAAGCGTACTCTTAAGTGATTTATATAAATTACAAGAACTTGTCAGGTCATCGAGTTTAAATAAATGAGTCACGCCAGGACAAAACCAACATAATGGGTTTGCGACCAGCATGGATCCAGACCAACCTGCGCATCCGCGCAGTCTGATCAGAATACATGCTGTTCGCCATCAGTTTCTCTCCTTGCAATAGGGTTTGTAAGCGAACATCATGGATCCTGATCAGACTGCACGGATGCGCAGGCTGGTCTGGATCCATGCTGGTCACAAACCCATTATGTTGGTTTTGTCATGGCGTGGCTAAGATATGTTTAACCTAAACAGAAGTTATCACAGGTTTGTTTCAGACCACTATTACATATTTCAGAGATACCTACCGTCCGGAAAGGTCTATTCTTTTGCTGAGCTTCATTAGCGCTATATCGTTGTAGTTAGATTGTTGATTGAAGCGCTCATGTGGGTAGATTGCAGACACGTGCACGATATTGCTCGTGTAAATAGATCTCTGATCTTGTACACCTACAGCCACAGTCCATTGGCTGGCATGGTGTTGAAGTCTAGAAAAACAAAAATTTTATTAATCTGTTAAGTTAAAACATGTCTTTGTATCGTTGTTATATGTTGTATGGAAGAGAATTTAATGAAGTAAGAAAACATACAGTGATACTTATATTCTTATTTTCTTTTGTTTAGTTAATGGGAACATCGAGAATGACATGGTCTTAATGTACATTATGCCCTAGAAATGCTTTAACTTTATTTACACAAAAACTTTTCTACTTTTAGTGTCCTGATATAATTTTAAAAAAATTAAAATATTTAGTTTTTTTTTTTTTTTTGTTGTTTTTTTTGGCAATTGGTACAGTCATAGTGATTTTGTATTTTACATGGAAGTCAAAGTACTACTTTATTCACATTTTGGCTACATTTTGCACGACAAATAAATTCATATTCAGTGCCAATTTCTGGAAGTTATAAGCATATTTTGTATTCTCTTAAAACATTATTTGAACACGATAATCATATTTGTAGAAAAGAAGGCAAAATATTGGTTTCTGGGGCATAAAGTGCGTTTATGAGACATAACAGTTAAACTGAAGTTATAATGGCATGAACATTTGTTATACCATCTAGATACTATTCGTAAGCTATTGACAACGCAACGTGCAAAGTGTACCAAATCAGCCACCATAAAATCGTGCTTATTGTAACATTTTCAAACTTACTCTTCAAAGCAATGAGCGGCCGTCATCACCCACTGGTCTCCAACCAAAGTTCCACCACACACGTGCTGGCCAAAATATCTAAGCGACACCTACAGGTTAAAAAAAGATGTAAGATTTAAATTTGTTGTTTTGTTATTGAATGTCATCTGCTGCAGATTCATGTAAACGAATGGACAGAATACAGAAAACTGTTTATGTTATGGTATCGCATAATAGAACTACAAATCAACCTTAAAGCCTATCCGTTACTATGGAAAACTCGTATTGTAAAATGTTCAACACCCCAAACGACCAATGTAGACCATGATCAGCCCTCACATCCGTGTCGTTTTATCATGGTCTGCACTGTTTGCTATACTTAATTACTTAATTTGATTTATACCCTAAAAATGATAAATGGTTTTGCCGAGATCAAAAGAAGAACAAGTCCATTTATGAAATATAGCGTGGTGAGCAATAAGTAAGATTGCATGCTGATTAATTTTAAGGCGCAGCTAAGTGGACAAAAAATGTTGTTTTTAATCATACTGCTTTTCGTCATTATTGGAACAAGTAATGACAGGGATTTCAAAACGGGCCCGAGCTTTCGCTTGCCCGGTTATAGACTACACGTGTATATATTTAAAAGAAAATCAAATAAAAACAATTAAAGAATGTATAGAATTCTATACCTATCACTGACATTTTCAGTGTCAGTTCTAGTCGGGCGCCGCCATTTTCAATGTAATTCAATGATAATAGGTTGGGTATTCTGATAACGAACAATCGCAACTTTTCGGATAAAAAAATATCGTCCAGTATTCCGAGTGAAAACAGAAGAGGTGCATGAAATACCGAATTACACCTTTAAAACGGAAAAATGATCGATTTTTTAACCGACTTCCACGTTTATAGGCTTTGCCTCATTTCAGATTATTAAACACATTTTATTATCATGTACATACCTGCCAAGGGAATTCCCCATGTTGTGCTATGCTACCTCCGACAATTTTATGGGCGGTTGAGCCAACAGCGGTTGAACCGCATTGTCCACTTCCAGGAGACCTAAAATGGATTCCCACACTAAATGTGTAATGTCGTTTGCGACGGAAAGATATACTGACTAAAGAAAAGCAAAGATTTTTACGCTTCATAACTATTTCATCCTATTTATTTTCTCCAAACTTTTAATGAAATGTTTAATGAGTCTCAGGGTTATTTCTAACTCCCTTTATAACGAAGAATTTTTATATCTGTGAATTCTCTTATAGTTAAAAGACAACAAAAATGTCATCAAAGTACAAACATAATTCCGTTCTCATTTCTTCTGCTAGAAGGTAATTTACAGAAGTAGACCATGCCATAAATCTTTTCTCAAACAACTTAAACTCGCTTTTAATGCATGTAATTAAAAATCTCAGTAACAAATGTTGCATACAAATGTAATTTTAAAATCAGATTATGTGTATGAGGTATGGGGAGTTAAATTGAATTTTACCCGCCAAAATGTGACGTAGGAGCAGGCGTATGATGTGGTGCTGACGTCAGTGGAGAAGAGGTCACGTGATGTGAACTTTGATAGTAGCAACATAATTGGAATACACCGCAGTAGTTGAGAGTGTACACATGACCTGGAGAGCAAGCTCCGTTCAAACCACTAAACATATCGTAGCACTGGCCATGATAGTACGACGTGCACACTGAAAACAGACAAATCAATTACTTAATTTATTTATAATATATAGATCTATATATTTTCAACAAACCACACTCATTTACTTAGTTTACTTATTATATATTTTTTAACAACCTCCCTAAGGATAAAATGCTTGCTGGTTCAATAGAACTCTATTGGTCGATTTCAAATCTCAAAATTTGAATATCAACCAATCATAGAACAGGTGCGCACAGGGTGAGGAAATTGCATACATCTGTGCAGTGCTTCTCCACATTTTTTATGTTTAAGACCTAGATTAAGGAAAGAAAGAGACACAGTCTAGGGCTGACAGATGGAAGGTTTCATTGTTGCTGTCAAAGATTTAACGTCTTAAGTGTGGCTGACCCACTTTTCGTCGCCATAAATGTAGATTGCATGCATGTCTCACAGTCATTACATTCATAATTAGGACATTGGACTATATATAAATTATATTAATAAGATGCATACCGTCTTGTCTGGTGTATTAATTAAACATTTAATTAGGATGACTGGAAGACACCAATAAAATATAAATAATATAATAAATGATGGAACGGTCAAACGAACTTTAGACAGATGAAATTGTACCATTTTTTCAGTTTGTCATTTTACTGATGAAAATTGTTTCAGAAAGATGGATACAATATGATATTTTTCGTCACCTTCAAATAAATATATTGCGCTTTCACTAGCACTTTCAGAAATGAATTCGCCGGAGTAGACTGATAAGTTAAGTATCGGTAGGTGTCTATGTCCGTGCTCGAGGACTATGAGAGATATTGCCATTTTTATGGTCTCGGATGAACAGACTCTTCCGAACAGAGTTTGCAATGATTGATTTAGAGTCATATGTTCTATATTTGTTCTGTATAGGATATCTCTTTGAAGATTGCCGAGCCTATATTTAATTTTATGAAATTTGAGATTTAACTGAAAGTTGAACTGTGATTCGGGTGACCCGGGTTCGATTTCCGAACGGTACAGGTCACTTCCGAAAGTGAAGTCAACTAATACAGAAAAATGCTTGACTGTTCAGGGACGAGGTGGTGGCTGAACAGTGCTCTGGTAAATTTAAATGACATACTGCCATGATTCAAAGTGAAAACTACCATCACCACCTCCGTGTTTGAACCGAATAGATCAGTATAGGTAGATAACATATAAAGTGTCAAATATAAATATAATATGCACGAGAGGGACAGAAGTTTTTCTGTCTAGATATATATATTTTGTTAATATAGGCTTCACGTTTGAAACGACGATTTTCATTGGCCATTTATTAGGTCTGAATCTTTATATACAACTACTGCTAATGTATGAGCTATTTTTATTGCATAAGTGTGCAGTACAAAGACATTTTTGAGGCTAAATGGCTATTTATAATCATACACATCTGTAACGTCGATTCTTATTGGATAGTCTTGACAATTATATTTTCTATATATTAAACGGCTGTAAAGGTGACGTTTCATTTTAAACAAGGAAAGCAAATTCATGAATGCAGTAAATATTACGAATTCATTATTCTGTTTTTTTTTGCAGGAAAGCAAATTCATGAAATATTATACATTTACTATTCATTTTTAAACGTTATATGACTCATAATGGCTGCGTAAAATGTTGTTTGCAATATAAACCTCGCAAAGCGATTCGAGTTATATAAAATAACAACCGATTATACAATCGGCTAAGATGCACAGTGCAATGGGGTTGGGCGGCTATATATATGTAACGAAATAAGCTACAACATTCCCCATATGTAAGTTGGTCTCTGACCTTTCTATAAATAAGGCACTACATAATACCAACATTGTACAGTACACAGCAAAGTCTGATCTCAAATTAGGACATGCTTATCTAAATAAGTTCTCTTTACAAACGCAACAGATCACGACTTGTCCAAATATTTGTAGTAGTTCAAAAATTCGTATGAAACAGGTTAAAATAGGAGCACCAGACATTTATCTAAAACTTAATTTCATAAATGGGGAAAAGGACAAAAACTTCCCAGGATAAAAGCCCTCCCGTCCAAAAATGACAAGGAGGTCAAAAACCCTCTGCATTTACTCCTAATTATGAAGACAATTCTAATGTTTTGTATGATTTAATCCTTGCATTAAATGGATTGGTCTACAAATTGCACATTTTTCATAAATATTTAAAATATTGATAAAATAATAGAAATGTTTTGTTTGGATATTAATTTTTGACTATTTATTTAAATATATATGGTGATTAGGTTTAAAGTGAAAATATATGGACATCAATGTGAGGAAAAAGCAATAGTGTGTTCTGAAACAATTCATTATCTGCTATATATAGATATCAACAAAATAATATGCTGCTTTTTAAGTAGGTCTTTAAGCAATTTTTGCAATGATTTCGTGAATGCGCGCCATTGACTCTTTAGAACTTGTACAATCTTATTTCTTTCAGACAGGCAGATATTTTATAAATCTGTGGCTCAAAATTCAAACAATCATTAAATATACTACAGCAAGCAAATTTATAGCTCTATACACTACAACACTTTCAAAAAATAAGTACACTGTAAAAGCATTAGGTTCAGAAAATTACTGATGATCTAAATCTAAACCGATTTGCTTGTTTTTTGTTTGTTTATTTGTTTTTGTATTGCTAAAAGTATCTTGAGCTTTAGCTTTTGATGCAAAAGTTTCAATGCCTTTATCGAAGTAATTAAAAGCAAATTATCATGTTTTATGCACACAAAAAATAACAAAAAATAGAAACAAAAAAAAAAGAAAGAAAAGAAAAAACAACAAACAATTTTTCGTATCCAAAGCATACCAAATTTGTACACTTCTTTTATCTTAACTTTTTTGCTTAAAAGTTAAACACGGAATTCTTAAAGTTATCTTGACCCGTATTCTAAAAGCATTACAAAAAAACGTCATGATAGATATATATCGTTCATTTTAAACAAACGGCAAATGTTTAATTTAAAAACATAAAAAATAAATTATTATATAAGATAAGTTTGATAGTATCAAAAACTACATACCATTTGCGTTTGCACCGCCGAGAAATGCCGCGGCACAAAAAATAAAAATTGGTATCATTTTTCTTCTGCTGTAAAATAATGACCGCCCGCGGTCGAGGAATAAGCTAAGTAATAAAGGAAATAGAAAAATAAAAAATCGTTGTAATCTCGGATGATCATGTTCAATGGGTCAGTATATATAGAGATACGAAGATAAGAGTCACTTAATCGAGCACTTATTCACCGAGTGCCATATCTGAAAGTTGTGGAATATTATTCTGATATGCTTACATAATTATAAACAAGTATTTCAACACATAATTTCTTAAGACAAATGACGAAGCGTTTTCGTTTTCATTTTTTAGCTTTTAATGATAACAATTCATGACTTTATGTATGTTGGATCAATGACTTTACGATGACGTCGTAATTTCGTTTTCTCAGTTCCCTGCTTTCAATTTCAACAAAGCAACAGCTGTTTCGGTCATTAACTCATAAGATATGTAAAATTGTTTACTTTATTTTCAAATCAGACAGATATGTTGTGATATTCAAGCCCATATTTTAGAGAAAAGTCATACATTGTTTTCATATTTAATAGCCAATCTGAGAACGGTAAAACCCGCCGTTACGTTAAGTCAACAACCTTTGAAAGAAAAGTAAAATGGCATAATTCGAACAAAGGATGAACAAACATTGGTAGCATTTATTTTATTTTAAGATTAATCATATCAGTGTTTGTATATTTGGTATCTATGTTCCTACTACTTTTAATGCTGACGGTTGAACACCGCTTCAGGCGATGCTAAAGAGCTTGAGAAAGGTTATATTTTCCACAGCATCTAATTAGCAGACGCGGTAAAAAGTAAATTTGCGATTTTCATATATTTTCATATATTTCCATATATCTTTTATTCCCTTGCTCACGAGAATGACCTACTCTTTTCAGATATCTTAAAATGGTGCTGGAGGGAGGGGAGGGAGGAAGCGGCGGGGGGGGGGGGTCGTTGTAAAGACCATAATTTATCGTATCTTTGATATCTCGAAGTAACAGTTTTAATTGTACCGAGTCTGTAATTTTCGCTATTTTTTCTGACGGTTGTCTTGAACACAAAGATTTTGATATTTAGTTTTAAAATGTTTCCATATACATGCTTGCCAATTTAGCGGCAAAATATCACATAAACCAAGAAAAGACCATTCAATCATGGATAGGAAAACTAGTTTAACACGGGATATGATTTACAAACCTTTTAAAAGATAAATGTATTACAAAGCAAACAACATATCAGAGTGTGCGTCATACAACCCTCAAGGTTTTTGTTTTCTTCTTCAAAAGTTAACAACTCTAAATGTTTCGGCTGTTGCATGACATTCAAAAACATGCTGTGTCACATATAGTTCGGAAACATTTTCATTTCATTGTTCGAACCCACTCATGCTCAATGCGTTATCTTGAATGCAGGACTGTATTTATTAGTTAACCGTACCCGAGTAACCGCACTTTCTGTCCGGAAATGAAACAGAGCATGTTAGTAGAGCTTTTTGTATTGGTGATTACTTTTGTGACGACATTGAAAAGAATAATGATAAAGAATTTATATTCAGATGCTCGTAAATTGGTTACTTTATTTTCTGGTGTTTACATTAGGAAAATGTTTTCAACACTCAAAGTATTTTTTTGAGAACATCCTTCTTTTACATGTACCAGAATTGACATTTTGTAAACAAAGTCTCACAACATACATGACATATTTGCAGGTGGGTTTTCCAATGTTTATTCACACGAACCATTCCTCACTGATTTTACATCCGGTTCATTTCAGGTCATTCAAAGTAGACGACAAATTTATTACATTTAAACCGCAAAGAATTTCATAAAAAATGGCGCAAATAGATAAATAAATGAATCATTGTGTGATTAAACTTTGCTCTTATCTTTATGATTTGATTTTATCAAAGTTTGACCGAAAAAGAAGCTATGCACTGGCACCAAGTGCTGGAGGTCAAATGTTCGATCTTTGGTCGGATTATTATATATGTAATTTAAGGTTACAGCCTTACAATTATTTTAAGCAGGGGGTATTTGTATTATTGTGTTCGGTGTCATCGAAGCGGCAATTTTCCGTCAAATATAAGTTCAAATATTCGTAACGAAATAAAATCAAGATTATGGAATAGTTTACCTTATACTAGTTTGAAAATATTGATATGAATTAATATAAACTTTGAATCCAATACATTTTTGGATTTTTAAGTCCATTTCATTTAAATTTCACAAAAAAACATTTGGGCTTATTTTTTTTTTAAAATATGAACCTTGATATATTACTGCGCGCGGCATGAACTCGAGAGGTTCTTGACAGGTTTTTGTTTCATCTGAAATTTAAAGAAAGAAACGCATATCAAAATTTAAAACATGATAGATAAAAAACTAAACAAGTGACTGATATTATAAAATTTATCAGGATTAGCCTTGCCTAATAAATATTGTGATATCAGACACTAGCATGGTAATGTCTGTTCATCAACACTTTATGATACCCTGGTATTTTGTGTGTGCTGTCCGTTTGTCTGTCTATCTTTCTGAGGATAACTTCTAACGAGGACATTGTATTTTTGTGTACACTAGAGCTGTTATTCATTGTTGCAACGTAAATTAACCAGACTTTTGGTCTGTAAGCTAGCTTTTTTCTCATTACACGTATTCTCGCTGAACTGGTCAATTTCAAATCATCGCCGGAATCTACGGTACACATTCCGTACCGGTTTCTCGTAATTACGTGTTCTCATATATGACATAACAATGACGTCAAATATTAAACAGTTTCATTACTACGTTCCAAATTATAAAAAACTCTAATTTACACCAAGATGAAGGGACATATTTGTCAAAAAAAATACCAGAAAGAAAGAAAGAAAGACAAAGAAAGAAAGAAAGAAAGAAAGAAAGAAAGAAAGAAAGAAAGAAAGAAAGAAAGAAAGAAAAGAAAGAAAGAAAAGAAAGAAAGAAAGAACTGGTTTCAAGATAACAGCAAGCAAGGTGCTAAAATAATCTTTCTTTCAGAATGCGTGTATAATCTGATCTATAATTAGCACACTGTGTGTGAAATAGGAACCTGTTGAGGATATTATAAGTGTTATAACAACCATAAATAATCATTTCGTGGTTTATACGTATGATACTAAATACAGCCCTTCCATTGTGGACAAATTTACTTTATGTTGATTAAATGTTGATTAAAGGCACTCCACTGAGTTTTATTTTGTTGATGTGATGGGAGTGAAAACATGTATACACATTTCAGATTAGTCGACTTTATTTTTCCAAATGAATTACTCTAATTTTGAAAAATTACTCAAATTGAAAAGTGTTGCAACGCTTTTCACTGAAATCGAGATAAGAATAGAGGAAAAAATAAACTTAATTTATTGCTGTGAGTTAATTTCTAAATTATCTTCTTTACATTTTGCCGTTTGAAGTGCCTTAGCTGATCTATGAAAGAAATTCAAATTTATGTTTCAGGCTTTTTATTTACTGGAAATAATGTATATTTGCCAGTTCATGTACCGGCTACATTAACAATGCCATGTTTGTTCTCGAAATCGTGACTATAATCTACTCAGTATTGATTTTCAAGCGGTTAAAATTGGAAACCGCATTGCTTTCTAATTTATGAAAGCTCACCGATGATTGGTTAATATTTGAAGGATCACGAAAGGGTGATCTCCTATTGGTGTCCGTCAGTTCCTAATGCGTAGCGTTAACTTTGAGCTAATTTTAATCAGATTGAATAATGTCTATATTGGTAGATTTTTGTTAGCCGGAGAAACCACTTTTATTATAGGAATATGTATATTTTTATAAAATGTTTTGTTGCCTGTATGGTTCTAGTGAAAATTTTAAAGTGGTAGTCAAAGAACAAAGTAATCTTAACTGCTTAAGAAACTGCGAAAGCTTTCTCCTCGCAGGATATATTTCTCAATCATGACGGTAAACCTAAGTGAGAAAACGTCAATTTCGTCAACCAAACTGCATTATTCAAAATGCGCCTTTTCATAAGCTAAAGCCAAACAAGTACAATTATGTGACGGAAAGTGACAGGTTTTATTATGTCAAAGCTATGCAAACGGTGACCGCTATAAAAACGACAAGCGCGCGCTAGGTAATCATACGTTTAGCCATTACACATACACCGTTTAATATAGATGATGTTAATTGTAAAATTACGACCGTTTTATTAACACTTCGTGAGGATGTGAATCATGGTCAATAAATTACCGACAAGTGACCAGCGGACTGGAGAAGAAAGATATGCCCCAATTCTTTGTCCTTTCTCTGACTTCTGGGTAAAACCGCCATTTTGCAACAGCCTTACTGGCGGGAAGTTTGTACAAACTGTTCAAACATTAAAAAAAAACTCGAAAAAGCGTTATTAAGAATATATTAAATTAGGGTTCTTTACTGTCCAGTGGTCAATGTCACTTGTTCAGTGGTCAAGATCACTGGTTCAATGGTCAAGGTCACTGGTTCAGTGGTTAAGGTCACTGGTTCAGTGGTCAAGGTCACTGGTTCAGTGGTCAAGGTCACTGGTCCAGTGGTCAAGGTCACTGGTCCAGTGGTCAAAGTCATTGGTCCAGTGGTCAAGGTCATTGGCTTTGAATTTCTTGTCCTTGATGGATGTAGTTTTTGATGCCCTCTGTAGACAATGGTACATAAGGAGCTTATATTGAAGAATATTAAAGTTATTTGATTCAACTTATATGTCCGATTTTGCCGAAAATCATGCACGGATGTTCGTGAACGTGTATGTATTGTACGGGTTCCCAGTGCTCCATAACCGAAAATATCAAATATAAATTATCTTTATCTTTACATAACTAAAACTACATACAATCAACTACAAAAAATAGCAAGTAATAAATAAATAAAAACTTTCAAAAAAAGTAAATAAATAAATAAATAAAAATTAAATAAATAAATTAATTAAATAAATAAATTAGATAAATAAATAAATAAATAAATAAATAAATAAATAAATAAATAAATAAATAAACAAAACAAAACAAAACTTTACTTGCACTACGCACTGGACGCCAGGCATTATGATATTAAATATATAAAATGTTACTAAGTAAATTCTTTATCAAATATTTCTATTTTTATTACATTACGTCCTTACGGTTGACAGACGGGCCTCATATAATTGTGACAATAAAAACTATGTTTGTCCATCTTATTTTGCCGCGTTTATTACACATATTTCTCATCTATTAATGACGGGTTATTGTATGTGACTTTGTTTTTGGTGTGATTCATAATTTATCAATAAGGATTTTTTTCTGGATTTTAAAATTCAGCATAGAACCCGTGCAGAATTTTTGACAAGAAAACTTTGTTAAAATTTGAATTGAGTTGTGAAAGAGACGAAGTTGAATTCTTTGTTAGTTTCGGATTTTGATAGAAAGATAAGTGTTTTCCCTTAATAAATATAAATATAAATACAACGAAAATAGAAAAGTTTATACAGGATTGACAAAGTTAAACTACTTTTGAAGAATCTGGACCTAGACATTGAAGTGGATTTAAAATGAAAAACCGTTAAAGCTTAGGTCCGTTTAATCAAAACGCTTGGCAAGCACCTTTGTGAAACAGATTTTGATTATACGCTGACTGTCTGATTTGGGTGATTAATTCCCGTTTGATGTACGTGATCATTTTATGTCCGGAATACAATGACTAATACACCATTAATAAAAAAATGTGTAATATGGTCAAAACAGCTGTGTTGAACATTGTGACACCAATTGCCTTTGTTTCTAGAGGAGACCATAACGAAACCATTGTGATCAAGGATTATTAACATTTAATTTGAAAAAGAAACTTAGAATTATACATCTTTTCGATTTCAATATACACTTTGCTGCTTAGAAAAAAATACATCATTGAATTATTATTTTACATATTTTTACACTGTTTCATTTAAACTGACTGGATAATTATGAGAAAACTGACGTTTGAAAATTTTGTAAAGTGTTCCGATGTTCGGATAGATCGGTATTTCGCCTTCATCCTGTAGTTTAGTTTCTGGATTGAAAACAAAAATTGCCTGTGATATATAATTAGACACAACAGAAGCACACGCCAAACATGTGGACAAAAATAGTGATTGGGCTCTCCATTGCAGTGTTTTTATTAATGTCAGGTACGTACTAGAACATTTAACACATTATTTATATTGTTACTAAATTTGGAGTTATTCAATAGTTTTTAAAATGTTAAGAATGCTACACCATAATTGAAAAAAAATTTAAATTTCGCATCATTTTGATCCTAAACAGAATAATTCTGAAATAAATTACCACATGTAAAATAACATATTAAGAATGAACACTTTAGTTGAGAAATGGTCATGTTTGACCCAAACATTAATTTCCCATAATACTGTTTTTCTGTATCATTTTAGGATGAAATAAAAATGCATTGAAAAACACATAAAAAGTTCAGAGTGAGCCGGTAGCCTTGTGTTTTAAGTGTTTGTCTCTGAACACAATAATAATAGGTTCGAGCCCTGCACGGGTCATATTTATGTATCCCCGTGCATGTATTACATCACAACCGGTTTGGCTCCAGAAAGAGCAATGAAAAGTGATTCAAACAAGTTTCAAGCTGTGTGATCATAGTCCTGGTCAAATATATATTTCTAAACAAAAATAATTGCTTGCTTAAAACGAAATAAAAAACAGCAATAAGGGAACCTTTATCCTAACTTGATCACATTTTAAAAGCCTGATCTCCATTAAATTGCATGGAACTACATTTTTACGCGTATTGATACTAACTTCGTCACATGTAAGAGGCAAACACTTACAATGGTAAAGCGATTTATTTAAAGCATTTAAAACAAAGTATTGACTGACGTATGCACACATTTAAATATAGTAAATCACCAAAATAACTAGATATTTATAAGAATTTTTAAGCGGCAGTAAATGACGAAGCAGATGTGATTATCGTTTATTTTTTGCATGTTTACATTTACTTTACACTGTTTATGTGGGAGTTGATACGATTTTTATATTGTTTTCTTTTTTTACTGTTTTATGTCTTTTTTGCGCTAAACAGGGTTCATTATACTTAACAGATATTTGCCACCGCATATTTTCTTAATTTGTTTATATCGCAAAAAAACCCGGTCTGTCACACGTTTGAATAATTTATCTTTAAAAATCTTTTCCAATATAAAGCTTATGTTTGTGACATTTCGAGCAATTGGTTTAGTCGTTTGTTATTTAAGGCATCTGTTTCTTGGTATCAGAATTATCATTTGATTTAAAGGCACATTATGCCTCAGAAATCTACATTTTCTAAATTATTCTTCTGAAATGTCAAACACTGTTAAGTAATGTTTCACTAATATAGAGCATGCTACAAGTTTAAATACTGGAATTAGAGCTCTGAACGTACAGTAATGTAGCTCAATGTAAACACAGTGGTATTTTGACTTCCATACAAAATACTTATTTGCCATAATTATACTAACTGCTAACGGAGGAAAAGTGGCAAAAGATAGTGCATGTATATGTCAAATGAGTGTAGTTGTGGAAACTGTATGATTAACATGACTTTTTTAATTCTATAATTGAAACGTGATTATTTTTTTTACACATTTCCTCTTCATAATTCAACATTTTGACATCCGATGACATCATTCGTGACAAAATAAAACATTTTCCATCAACCAGAAGAACAGGCTTATCTATTTCAGCAAAGTATATTACAGAAAATAAACAAACATCCGTTGCATGCAGACTGCAGCTTTTATATGATTTAATTAGTTTTCATCTCTTTGTTTCAGTTGTGAACTGCACGTATGGTCCATATTTTCTTGAAGAACATCAAAGACTTCCGTTACAAAAATGCCCTTCCGGTGGATATTCTAAAATTAGATGCAGACCGGATATACAATTCAACGACTGTGGACAGGGCTTTGAGTGTATCCGAAACCGTTATTTATACCAATATGACAAAATATTTTGCGGCGTATGTTGCCCAGCACGGCAGTTATGCCCTAAAGGACTTTTACAGGGTCCAAAATGCAATAATTACGGCACAAAGTGCCCACGTGGCTTTAAATGCTTAAATGGAGTCTGTTGCCAGACGACACAGTTCACGTGCCCAACCGGAAGTATCCCAGGGCGCAAATGTTCTTTGAACTTTCCGTGTAATCCAGGAAGTATCTGTTTAAAAGGGACGTGCTGCTCTATGCCAAGTAAGTAGAAGACCTTAGTATTTGACAATAATAAGTATAAAGTTATCGAATATAATTCAGACATTGGCGTGTAAAGGGACGCCATATTGGACATCTTTAAATCCAATACTTCAACTTAATATAATTTAATATAACTTTCATTGCATGATACATTTTTTGTTGGGAATTTAGAAATCTTATTTGAAACTATTTGCTCATCGGGTGTTAATTATTGTCATACAGTTTTTTCTTATTTCTCAGCAGTGAAGAAAAACTTTTAAACAAAGTTCTAAGATGTATGCGTCCTATTTCCTTGCGTTTTTTTCGTTGATATCTAGGAAGCAAATAAAAAAGAACAGTATTAAATAATAAATGCTAAACATTAAAGTTGAAGATATTTGTGTGATATCTGTACGTTAACAGCTTCTACCGGAAACCATATAAGTGACTCCCCTCGAAGAGATCTTGTTATTTCTGATGAAAGAGACCGGTGCAAAAATAGAGATACTATATATACATTTCGTGGGGTTTTGCAAAAAAAAAACGGACATTTTTGTGGGTTGTCAATTGAAATCATGTAATAAAATATAATAATTCGACAGACGAGATGGAATTTTGTTAGTTTTTAAATAAGATGATTAACCAATCAATGAAAACCACGAAAAATGTGCCGCACGGATTATAATGATTTTGCAGTATTTTACATGAGCCATTGTTGATCGCCCAATACCACAAGAACGAGCCCCCCTCAAGTGACATTTTCCACACTTTTTTCCCTGGACTTAAATAATATTTCGTTTTTACGAATTGATATTTCGTTATTATGAAATTATATTTTGTAAAAACGAAGTAATATTTCGTTATTACGAATTAATATTTCGTTATTTGGAAATAATGTTTCGTAAAATCGGATTAATATTTCGTAATTATGAATTAATATTTCGTAAAAACAAATTGATATTTCGTAATTACGAATTATATTTCGTTTTTACGAATTAATATTTCGTAATTACGAATTATTATTTTGTAAAAACGAATTAATATTTCGTAAAAACTAATTAAGTCTTGGAAAAAAAGTGTGGAAAATGTCACCGTACAAAAGCGTGTCACTGAGGTTTTTTTAAATTCCATCCACATGTGACGTCACTGGGTCATTATTTGTCAATATGTCGTTTACCATGATAATTGATAGTAAGATTTGTCTAAATAAACGTTGGTCTGCTGTCATATTGATTTTTTAAAAAATAATATGTGTGGTTTTAGTGACCGTAAAAGAAGCGATGTACGTTTGAAGTTTTTAAAACAATTAACAATAAAGTATCTCCCTGTCCAAGAAAAAAAATGAAATAAAACATTATCTTGACAGATATGACTATTAAATCTCTCATCTTTTTTTATTCTTTGCCCTCCTTTTCATCCACTGAAAATGACTAAATTTGAAAATTGTTGACAGTCAATTTCGTATAAACTATCCTTAATAACGTTCATTTAAACCATATTTAACTGTTCGTTAAACATTTCTCGTGCCTCAACGACTTAGTTTTAGACGAAAATAAGAAAAATAAATTAAAACGTCTTTCACACCATTTTTTAATAAAGAAAGTACAATTATAATCAAAGCACTGAATGTACTGATGGGGAGGCTATGAGAGAATGTTTCAGACTTATAGTTTCTTTTCTTTTTGCTTAAGATATGCTACCAAAATAAAAAGATATGCAAATTGCGCTATTTATCCTTACTGTTGTGTTCAACCATTCATATATATGGTTAATGTGGTTGACTATTCATTTTGTTAATATTCCAGAACATTTCATTGAGGTCTACATTCGGCCTGTTAATCATGCAAATTTTGAAAAACCTAAACTGTCAATAATAAATGACATACCAGCAAGTATGACGACTGTTCATTATGAGATAACAATAACATTTTACAACTGACGGTTCCTTATCAAAATATTCTAGGACTGTTCATCATAAATACTTTATGTCATTTTAATATTATTGAATGATATTAACAACTGCAAGTGATGCAACATTTTTATTGAACATAAAAATTATACACGTTTAGATGTACCATAATTGAGATCAATAAGATACTGTCTTGTGATGAGTATTAATATTCATGCTCTACGGACAGAAGGTTGTCTTCTCCAGAAGCAAATCTCGAATAAAATCACGTTTCAGAAAATTATTCCCATTTCATTACTGACGGCGTCGGATAATATTAAAGCTAAATATTTCTTGAAAAAATACATATCTGCAAAGCTTATTCAAAACTGAATCAACCTAAGTGAAAATTGATCAGGAAGTTATATCTTCTTTTTATACCGCCAACACTCAACCAACTTATGGTAGTTAATCGATAGATTCTACGTGTATTTTTAAACCTCACTAGCTTGAAATATATACTGCGGAAAATCTGTTGTTAACAGGGTGTGCGGTTATTACGTAGGGTTTTCCCTGTCGACCATTTCCCGCAAATAGATGAGAACATCGAAGCCGTCAGTGCTATGAATGGTGTTATAAATGGCGTGTTTTGAAAGTTTTTGTTGAAACTTCTCCAAATCCCTCCAGAGGCGTGCACGTCGCGGAGAAGGCACACGGAAGGTCATAGTCAAGTAATCATAAGTACCAGAGGTGATTGGTTGACCTGTCGTGACTTACTCTGGAGGCTTGGCGCTAATAGATGCCGTTTTTGTTGTCGTCAGTCAGAAAGTTGATGCCTTGACGGTATTGTCGTCTCCTTTACCACCAAAGAACGAAGAATGGGCTTCCAGGAAGAATCTGCTTGAAAAAGACGTTCCAGATGCTATAATCTCGGACATATGGTTATTCCGGCGCCGAGTATAAATAAACTTAAAACACACACACACTTTTGTTGAAAACAAAACAAGAAACAAATACACATTTTCTGTAGTAATTTTTCAAAGTTGTAAAATGAATAAGAAATTCTTCTTATGCCGCCGATTATTTTTAGAACACAAACATTAAAGTTCTTTTTTTTTTATTTTTCAAATAAACATTAATCACTTCAGCGCGCGCAAATATCGTTTTCAAATTAAAGTTTCGTAAGATGTGTTAATGACTTCCCGATGCTCGACTGTAAGTAATTTGTATATGTATGCGGTTTATGTTTTTGTTTTTTGTTTTTTTTTAATTAAAGCTTCTTATCCTTTAAAATTTTTATGTATCTCATAATCTGTATTGAAAATTTGAATTTTATTACACATGGACTATCAAATTATGATGTATGCCCTAGAATTGAATAAACTTTCTAATTACACAATACGGGGTCATACTGATCTTTGCGTCTTTCTCTGAAATAATTATTTCCTTGCTAAAACATATTTGACCACATATTTCTGTCAATTAACTGTTCACTTTACATCCGATTTTTGTTGTACGGAAACACATGTTTCTATTTGTGTTTTCTAATCAATTCGAATCTATAATCAGTTTAATGGGATCACCACCGGGTAAGCGACTACTAGGTACTTTGGTCATGTTTTTTACCCCAAATATTTGAATGTTTCTATTGGGATTAAAATGAGCATAGTTAACTAAACAACTGGTTGTATAAATCCCTGACCTGTCTAATTCTAATAATGAATATATAAGACTTTCACTACAAAATATTCCTAAACAAAAGAGCACATGTTTAAATTTATTCCTATACAAATAAAAGATCAGAGAAGGGATCTGTCAATTGCTAAAGATACTTTTATGTTAAAAGTTTGATTAATGAATTATGTAAGATGAAAATATAAGTATTGCTTTTTTATTTTGCTAATGTAAAATGTAATATTGTGCTGGAATTTTGTCGGAGGGTCCTTAGGGGTTTTGTAGTTAAATAGTTTTTTTCCGGCGATAATGGTTCAAGAATATAATGTTTTCAAACTATATGTTCATCACCATCAGTGAATTTTTAGTTAAATATATGCAAAATATTTACTAACAGCTATATGATATAGCGGTTTATGAGCGTTTTCCGCGTACAGCCTCCTGGGGTGTACTAATAAGTTAGTTTTCCTTAGTTATCACGCAAGCATGATCCATGTCTCTGATGTAAGCGACAGCTTACAATTATTTGTCTTTAAAAAATATTAAGGACTATTAATGGTTTATAACAACAAAAGAACATGCATGATATTGAGAATATGGTGTTGCAACGTTCTAGTTAATGACCCGTCATAAAAAGCTGGTCGCTGCGTAGTAATTGGAAAATTGTTATCAAAAATAATAAAGAATATTTGCCACTAAATTAAAGCATTTACTTATAAATTTTCATGTATGCTTTTTGTTTAAAAAATATTGATAAAGTTATTATTTTGAAGGGTTTTCATACCAGAACTATTTATTACAGACGTACGTATGCCTAAACCTGATTACCGCGGCAGTATGACGTCACGGAGTAGTGATTTAAACAAAAATCAAGAATTTTTCAGAGAATTATTATCTTTACAAATATAAAATTAAAGAATGAAAATATGTTCATATTGTAAATGTCTGTGATGAGTGATGAGTCAGCTTAGAAAAAATCAAGGTACTATTTTTTGACCTGATTACCGCGGCAGTAAGATTTGACGGACGGTTATTACCATTGGGTCGGCATAGCCTCCCCAAAAATGTTGGTTTCCAGTAGGGCTTAGACCCACATCCAAACAACCCATGCAATCTCTGTTCCTCATAAAAATGAATACACTTCAGAAACTTGGTTCTACATAATGCACCGGATACTTTTTTTTTCTTTTTTTGCGTCTTACTATAACCAAAAATCTAAACAATGAAAACTGAAGAAATTGGCTTTGTACCCGGGCTTAAATCAAAGTAATCCACGTGAATATGTAAATTGGACAAATCATCCATATCTATAACAGATTTGTGTATTCTACAAAAGCCTCAACATTGCATTCATTACAATTGAGCTAATTTGAATTAAATGAAAAGAAAACATGCTTGATTATTAACAGCATTGAAAAAATGCTTGTTCATTCCTAACTTAGATTAATATCTCAAATGGGCTTGCACATCTCACAATCGAGACAAAACCATTAATCATTTTTAGGGATTGTAAAAGAACAAACGCATTGAAGAAGAAACCATGACCAGACGACTTTGCACGGATATCCAAAAAGATTTATCTGACCAAAACCATTTATCATTTTTAGGGACATTTTCAAAATAAATACTGTCAGAATAGCGACCTGTGCAAACTATAATCAGACTGAGGTAAAATTTGTTGCCACATTCTATGGGGGTGATTTTGAAAGCTTGTGCGTCGTGTTTGCGCTAGCAACAACACGACAAAGCGCCAAACGGCGCGTTGTCGGACTTACATCTTGTCGTATGTCGCTTACGATGAACGCCAAACGGCGCGTTGTCGTGCGGCGTGTTGCCGCGATGTCATGTTGTTGGTTCAAATCAAAAGATTGGCTCATAAGCCAAGCGACAAGGCGACATCACGACAACGTGCCGTTTGGCGTGCTTTGCTAGAGACAGGACTACAAGACAAAAGCGCGACAACGCCTCGTTTGTCGTGTTGTAGTTGGAAAAAGCGATAACGTTATAGGTTGTGTTGTCGCTATCGACAACGCAACGCGCAATGTACCAAATCAGCCAACATAACATTCAGACTAAGGGTTAAACAATAAGAATGGCTGCAAAATGAATACATTCTTTCTTTTGTATATTATAGTTCAAAGGTGTTTGAACGGTTAACGTCCTTTGAATACGGACATCCACCCAGTCGCCATTGTTCGGTCTTTTCTGTTACCGAATTGTGTGGATGTTAGTTTGTTTCTACGATAAATTATGCCACATGTAAACAAAAAATATATCTAAGTCAAAATAATTAGCACCAGGTAAGCTTTTTAAGTGTTATAACATCAACAAAAACTAGTACTTGCTTGGAAATGCAAAGCCATCTTACTTTTTATCTTAAGCCTGTTGGCGGCACTGAATATACATGCAGCTTTGCTATCTGAGAAGTCTGATCATGGCCTGCACTGTTCACTATTCAGCCAGTATAATGTTTATAGTTTCCTTAAAACGAAACAAATATATATTTTTCTTATCGAGATTGGAAGATGTTCAAATTTATTTAAGAAATCAGTAATGAAAAGAGTAAATCCACCGAATAATAAGTTGAAAATGAAATAATAATAGGATAAAAATCTGTATAAGATATTGGATGGAAAAGTAAGTATCCAATTTTTAAATATTTGAAAAGCAAAACGTCAAACGATTTATGAAATTAAGAGGCTTTTTAGTTTTCGGTGTCCTGTCATTTTTTCTTAAAAATGAGTCATTTGCAAATTAACTGAACCACTTTTTTCATTTGCTGCTGTTTTGCAATTACATGTAGAACGTAGTATTTTGTATAGAAGTCAGATTTCTTCTTTGTTGACGTTTCGCAAATTTTATAGCAATCTTTCTCTTTACATATTTTGCTCCTTTTGTAAGATGATTTGTATCTAACATTCTCTAAAACAATTATTTAAACGTTTTAATATTGAAGTTTGTCCTTTGTAAAGAAGTAAAAAAATGTTTATTTCTGAGGCATAATGTGCCTTTAACATTAATACGTACAGTTCTCTACTCTTTATTTTTCTTAATTTTGCTATGTTTTATTTATCTTAAAATGTCAAAATAAAAAATAAAAGTGCATATATTTATTTATTTATTATATTTGAAACAAATGCATGTTTGTGATCTAGACACCATATAAAGTATATACATGTAAGGTCATGCGGGTCACGCAGGTCACACATATGTTTTTTATTATGTAAGTACATTAAAGATTTGATGTACAGTTAGAACAAAGATGTCGTGCAATATGTCATTTATGATCGTTTATATTGCAGAATAGACATGTACTTCACACGCACATAAATCAAGTTTGATTAATGTACATAAATCACACAGTTTAATATATAGTCAACAACGCATTTTCTTTTCTTTTTGTAACTGTTTTGTTTATCCTGATGCAAAGTTTCACATTTTTATCTTTAATTGAAATGTGTTTAAGATCCAATAAGTTGTAATTAATTGTTTGTGCATATGCGTTTATTTATATTATTGTCCAAATGGGCGAGTCCTCCAGAAGAGAAATAGTCGTTTAAGTCTTTTGGAGGATAGGGCAAGATACAGATACAGATAGATGCAGAATTGCAGAAGCTTCTCCTGGTTCTTTCACGTGCCAAAAATATTTCATGGCTATTTTCTAGCGGTAAAACGGACTATTTGGCACGCGCGCAAACCGCTTTCTCTTGTTATATTGTAAAGGAAACTGATTCGGACGTTACATTTTGTAACAAAATATATTTGATTACTTCAAAAGAAGTTCTATGTAAGTTGAATATGTTAAAAGAAAACTATATAAACAAATACACTGGTTTTGTTGCAAGGAAACATTTGTAGCCGTGTATGAATTATTTTGTATAACAGTATTACACAAAAAAGCTTGTACATTGTTTTATTTTGTTCTGGTTTCTGCCATTACAAGTAAATTTTCAAATGTTAATTGGCAGAGAAATGTTAGAATAATTAGTTGTCATAATCACAAATACGGACAGCTGTAAGAATAATGAGTTGCTAAAATCACAAAATATTAGCATAACATTACGTCACTTGGACAGTCAATAACATTATTCAAAGTTTACTTACCAGACTGTTTTTAATTGTCGTTTTGTACTAATGTAGGAAGGCATATTATGCCTTAAAACGAATAACTTTTTGCTTCTTCAGAAAAGGCAATCATGAATATAATGATAGTGAAAATAATAGTTTTCATACCATGTTAGATTCTTGTTACGTAAAGAAAGTATCACTAATTCTGAAAGTATTTGTCAAGAAAGTAGCAACATGTAGACAAAGTTTATATTGACTTCCGTGCAAAATACTAAATGACTATAACTGTATGAATTGTCCGATAAGCAAAAGAAGAAAAAAGATGGTTCAAATAATTAGCCAATGAGCATCTTTTTGAAAACTATAAAAGTAAACCAAAACTAACATGTTTTTGAGAAATAATATTTAAAAAAATTCTGAAGCAGAAAGGTGTAAAGCAGTATAGTTTTACGAATTACCGGCGGAGACATTTCAACTTCATGAAATCCTGATTTCATCTTTGTTAATTCACAATTTTAACTTCGGTAATTTACGTTTTCAATATATGGAACTCACAAATTCACGATTTCATCTTCACGCGATTTCATATCAAAATTGAAATCTTGAATTCATGTGTTGAAGTCGTGAAGTTGAAATCGCAAATTCATAAAAATGAAATCACGAAATTGTGATTTCACATAGATAAAATTGTGAACAGGAATAATAATTATGTTGGTAGTTTGACAACTAACCATGGCAGAATTATATATGGATATTGTTTGTATGTGTGAGATACATAATCCGGTATTAAATATATATAAATATCAGAGACACAAAACCCATACTGAATAGAATAAAAGTGGGTTGACAGCAACCATGAATAAACTGAGCTGCCAACGAATCTACTTCGCGACCCTTTCCTGAAAGCTGATGATATATACACCTGGTAATAAGTTAAGCACACCCTGAAAATTTGAAATTGGTTGTGATTAAAAGCTCGAGATGTCGATTTAATTGAGCTGAGAAATAGTAATTTGATAAATAGCGATTCAAATTTAGTATTCATAAACCAGCATAAATATACCAAAAATATCCACCAGTAAATGTTTTGGAAACGCTCCAACACCCTACTTATATAATTCAACACTTGCAGTTTTGGTAAAAACAACACATTTGCTCATGCTTCGATAATTTGGTCAAAAATATATTAAACTCAAAAATTTACTGGTTTATGATTACAAAATTGGTATCGCTACTTATCAAATGACTATTACTTAGCTCAATTAAGTCATCATCTCATGACAGTGTTTTCAATCACAACCAATTTTAGATTTCAGGGGTGTGCTTAACTTATTTCCAGGTGTATTTTTGCATTTGTATATTATACAATGCATTAAACAACTTAGTTGTAGCTATACATAGAAACTTTATATGGTAAATGGAAACTCTAACCACTCTTTTATATAATATTTGTCGAAATACAATTACGATAACAAATTATTAAAATGCTTTGCATTAAAAGTAGCTTTTCATTTTGTTTTTATAAATCATTACACTAAATGCTTTTATCATATTCATTTCAGAGCACCGGCCTGTGTGTCCATCCAACTATTTCCCGCTGGCGGGAGTAAAATGTGGGTTACATTCACACTGTCCAGGCAGGTCTGTGTGTTTCGATTATAAGTGTTGTCATCCCGAAAAACCGGTATCCAAACCACCAGTCCCGCCTAAGAAGCGACCACCATCACCTATTCCATCCAGTAGACCGCCTGTCACTGTCAATATTCCGCCAAAAAGACCGCCCCAAACGGTACCGCCTACTTTCCCAGTGCGGGAAGTACCGAAGACAAACCCACCGATATTTATTAGTCCGCCTACAACACCACAAACCCCGTACCCACCAACAAAACCACCAGAAGTATTAACACAAAGACCTCTTATCCCTCACATCGGTAAGTACAAATTTTTTTGTGAAAAAAAAAAAAAAAAAAAAAAAAAAAAAAAAAAAAAAAAAAACAAACAAACAAAAAACAACAAAAAAACAATAACGACAAAAGAAAATAATATACAATTTAATAAAACTACCAAATACTATGAAAGCATACTCATTAATAAAATACCAATTCATAGTTTTGAGACATATAGCTAGTTTCAAAAATGATATTTTCTTCAATACGTGGGGACTATTTTCCTCAAAAGTCCACCATGATGAAAGATATTTTCTTCAATACCTGGGGTCTATTTTGTGATGACTTTTTACATTCGTAAAGGCAAACATAATAGTCAGAAGTATCATTAACAATCTTAAATTTATGTATGCAAAACTGACTTTTCTTTTCCCGTTTTGATTAACAAGTCAAAAGTCAAGGTTAGAATAAAGGGTATAATATATCTCATTGTTGTACTGCCGGATGTTTATAAAACACGCGTGAAAAATGTATGCTTTTTGTTAGCACATTTCATACGTTGTGCATTAAGATATTGTGCGCTAATGATTAGGAAAATAAATGGCATGGGACGCATTTTTCATTGTTTGATTCAAATATGACCTCTAAGAAGAACATGGAGCAATACACAAAAAAAGTCCAAATTATTAACATTATTTCATGCATACGTACACATTCGAACGAAAGGATATTAATTAATTTTCAAATGTATGTACTGAACATTTTTAAAAACATTTAAAACGTGTAAAGTATGAAAATACTTATTAATTCATGCACATTGTTCTTGCAATAATAAATATAGCTTAAATATTACACATTGAATATTAAACATTTTTCACTTCTCAGAACCATCACTTGTTCATATGACGTCATGCCCACGTGGACTACACGAAATACCCGGATTAACATGTGATCACATTCTTGGTTGTCCTGGCCACAGTCAGTGCTTATCTGGACTGTGTTGTACAAATGAAGGTTTGTTTGAATTTCAAATAATCTTATTGGATAATAAACCTCATGAATAAGTAATCTAAAATAAAAAATTATTTTTGTATTTGTTGCAGATGTAGCTCTTAAATGTGCTGCATGCTACATATTTCCCATTATATAATTTCCCGTTGGTTGTTTGCTAAAATGTAATGCAAGGCGCACACATCGCATCGGTCATATACATATTATTGTCAGAGCTATAAAATTGAATTTATATGAAAATCCACATAACAAGTGGCAGAAAATAAAAGATATTATAATCGTTCTAATGCTTTAATACTACAATTTTACAATATAGGTCTACATGTTATATTATATAATCACATTTTATTACATACAACATTCATTTCACATTGAAGCTAACTACAATGGGAAAAATATGTGTGTTTTTTTATTACAAGTCTTTAAATATTGGGTGTCGTATTTCTTTTATTGTCCTTACAGTAAATCCAGTTCGTACGTGCCCGACAGAATATACACCTATCCCGAACATCAATTGTGGACTCAGACAACATTGTCCTACCGGAAGTCGATGTGTGTCCGGTATTTGTTGTCGGCCACCAACTCCGCTTGGCATACCAAGTTGTCCGCACAATTATACCCGGGTACCTGACCTTCAATGTGATTTCGGCACTTGTCCCGGAAATGGCGTGTGTGTTTCCGGAATTTGCTGCACAAGGATTAGGAAAATTGAGCTAGGTATGTAAATATACTATATTCATTTTTTAAATGCAATGTAGTATAAAAAATACATCTTTTGAAGTTGATTGAATATTGTGAAAATTAGAAAAGTATCAGAGCTTGTAACACACAGCATTTGATTTTCCCGTACCGTTAAGCGTCTCTTCTTTGGGATGCCCAAAGGTGGCGAGTTCAGTGACCGTCTTTTGCTCTTCTTAATCTTTAGTCTATTGTTTTTGCATCATTTTTGGGGAGGCTATGCCGACCCAATGTTAATAACCGTCTGTCAAATCTTACTGCCGCGGTAATCAGGTCAAAAAATAGTACCTTGATTTTTTCTAAGCTGACTCATCACTCATCACAGACATATACAATATGAAAATATTTTCATTCTTTAATTTCATATCTGCAATTTGTAAAGATAATAATTCTCTGAAAAATTCTTGATTTTTGTTTAAATCACTACTCCGTGACGTCATACTGCCGCGGTAATCAGGTCAAAAAATAGTACCTTGATTTTTTCTAAGCTGACTCATCACTCATCACAGACATATACAATATGAAAATATTTTCATTCTTTAATTTCATATCTGCAATTTGTAAAGATAATAATTCTCTGAAAAATTCTTGATTTTTGTTTAAATCACTACTCCGTGACGTCATACTGCCGCGGTAATCAGGTTTAGGCATACGTACGTCTGTAATAAATAGTTCTGGTATGAAAACCCTATAAAATAATAACTTTATCAATATTTTTTTAACAAAAAGCATAAATGAAAATAAGTAAATGCTTTAATTCAGTGGCAAATATTCTTTATTATTTTTGATAACAATTTTCCAATTACTACGCAGCGACCAACTGTTTATGACGGGTCATTAACTAGAACGTTGCAACACCGTATTCTCAATTTCATGCATGTTCTTTTGTTGTTATAAACTATTAATAGTCCTTAATATTTTTTAAAGACAAATTATTGTAAACTGTCGCTTACATCAGAGACATGGATCATGCTTGCGTGATAACTAAGGAAAACTAACTCATTTGTACACCCCAGGAGGCTGTACGCGGAAAACGCTCATAAACCGCTAAATCATATAGCTGTTTAGTGAATATTTTGCATACATTTAACTAAAAATTCACTGATGGTGATGAACATATAGTTTGAAAACATTATATTCTTTAACCATTATCGCCGAAAAAAAACTATTTAACTACAAAACCCCTAAGGACCTCCGACAAAATTCCAGCACAATATTACATTTTACATTAGCAAAAATAAAAAAAGCAATACTTATATTTTCATCTTACATAATTCATTAATCAAACTTTTAACATAAAAGTATCTTTGGCAATTGACAGATCCCTACTCTGATCTTTTATTTGTATAGGAATAAATTAAACATGTGCTCTTTTGTTTAGGAATATTTTGTAGTGAAAGTCTTATATATTCACTAATCTCATAATTAGAATTAGACAGGTCAGGAATTTATACAAACAGTTGTTTAGTTTTGCTCATTTTAATCCCAATAGAAACATTTAAATATTTGTGCTAAAAACATGACCAAAGTACCTAGTAGTCGTTTACCCGGTGGTGATCCCATTAAACTGATTATAGATTCGAATTGATTAGAAAACACAAATAGAAACATGTGTTTCCGTACAACAAAATCGGAAGAAAAGTGAACAGTTAATTGACAGAAATATGTGGTCAAATATGTTTTAACAAGGAAATAATTATTTCAGAGAAAGACGCAAAGATCAGTATGACCCCGTATTGTGTAATTAGAAAGTTTATTCAATTCTAGGGCATACATCATAATTTGATAGTCCATGTGTAATAAAATTCAAATTTTCAATACAGATTATGAGATACATAAAATATATTAAAGAATAAGAAGCTTTAATTAAAAAACAAAAAAAAAAAAAAAAACAAAAAAAAAAAAAAAAAAAAAAACCCGCATACATATACAAATTACTTACAGTCGAGCATCGGGAAGTCATTAACATATCTTACGAAATAAGTATTAATAAATTAATTTGAAACCGATATTTGCGCGCGCTGAAGTGATTAATGTTTATTTGAAAAATAAAAAAAAAAGAACTTTTATGGTTGTGTTCTAAAAATAATGGGCGGCATAAGAGGAATTTCTTATTCATTTTACAACACTTGAAAAATTACTACAGAAAATGTGTTGTTGTTTTGTTTTCAACAAAAAAGTGTGTGTGTTTTAAGTTTATTTATACTCGGCGCCGGAATAACCATATGTCCGAGATTATAGCATCTGGGACGTCTTTTTCAAGCAGATTCTTCCTGGAAGCCCATTCTTCGTTCTTTGGTGGTAAAGGAGACGACAATACCGTCAAGGCATCAACTTTCTGACTGACGACAACAAAAACGGTATCTATTAGCGCCAAACCTCCAGAGTAAGTCACGACAGGTCAACCAATCACCTCTGGTACTTATGATGACTTGACTATGACCTTCCGTGTGCCTTCTCCGCGACGTGCACGCCTCTGGAGGGATTTGGAGAAGTTTCAACAAAAACTTCCAAAACACGCCATTTATAACACCATTCATAGCACTGACGGCTTCGATGTTCTCATCTATTTGCGGGAAATGGTCGACAGGGAAAACCCTACGTAATAACCGCACACCCTGTTAACAAACAGATTTTCCGCAGTATATATTTCAAGCTAGTGAGGTTTAAAAATACACGTAGAATCTATCGATTAACTACCATAAGTTGGTTGAGTGTTGGCGGTAAAAAAAGAAGATATAAACTTCCCGATCAATTTTCACTTGGGTTGATTCAGTTTTGAATAAGCTTTGCAGAGATGTATTTTTTCAAAGAAAATATTTAGCTTTAATATTATCCGACGCCGTCAGTAATGAAATGGAATTAATTTTCTGAAACGTGATTTTATTCGAGATTTGCTTCTGGAGAAGACAACCTTCTTTCCGTAGAGCATGAATATTAATACTCATCACAAGACAGTATCTTATTGATCTCAATTATGGTACATCTAAACGTGTATAATTTTTATGTTCAATAAAAATGTTGCATCACTTGCAGATGTTATTATCATTCAATAATATTAAAATGACATAAAGTATTTATGATGAACAGTCCTAGAATATTTTGATAAGGAACCGTCAGTTGTAAGATGTTATTGTTATCTGATAATGAACAGTCGTCATACTTGCTGGTATGTCATTTATTATTGACAGTTTAGGTTTTTCAAAATTTGCATGATTAACAGTCCGAATGTAGACCTCAATTAAATGTTCTGGAATATTAACAAAATGAATAGTCAACCACATTAACCATATATATGAATGGTTGAACACAACAGTAAGGATAAATAGCGCAATGTGCATATCTTTTTATTTTGGTAGCATATTTTAAGCAAAAAGAAAAGAAACTATAAGTCTGAAACATTCTCTCATAGCCTCCCCATCAGTACATTCAGTGCTTTGATTATTACCGTAACTGTGCTAGTTTAGAGACGATTTCTAATACGAAGAGACATGTTCTTCCATGTATGCCCCTTTTTGAAGAAAATATGTTATGTGTTCACCCATTTAACATTAAAGCATAACAAATGTATTTCGGATATAATTGTTTTGAATTTGGCAAAATGATTAAACATTAAATATAAAATAGCAAAGAGTAAAACATAGCAAAGAATAATTTGTAATAGAAAAAGACTGGTAAGTTTAGTTGGTTTTGAGTTACCTGTTATCTGAAAATGATCTACGCAGTGGATAACTGTAAAAGTAGGAAAGTGACCCACATTGTTTCAAAACTGATTCTCTTCAATGATGCAAAGTATAAAACAGCTTAATCTAATTAAGTTTAATCAGTGAGCTCATTTTTACGTTATTTCCTGTAAGTAAGTTGGGAATTAAGAAAGTATTAGAAACGTCTTAAAGTACTCCATAACAATAAATGAGCATATAATCATGTAAATGTTTATCAATATAGTGTGTTTTATTCCAGAAGTACAGCCACCAATTTGTCCGAATGGCTACAGACTTGTCGGCAATACTCAATGCAGATCTGACTCTGGTTGCCCATTAGACAGTCTGTGCATTGCAGGACATTGTTGCAGATTTGTACTAGATCCTAAAAAAGGTAAGAGTATTATTCCACAGTACAAAAAAATAGTTGAGCAAAGAAATTAAGTAAAGATGCTAGACAATTGCTGAGTAAATATACAAACCCCCAAACTATCTGATAAAAAGAAAAAAACAACAATATAGCAATATAGTATTTAAATGTATAATTATATAGATAGTGAATTAATTGCAAAGATAAGTTCAAATGCATTCTACTTTTTCCAGAAACGAGCAAAACTTTTTAGCTTTGATAAAGGACATGTTGCAAGAATGTTCTAATATAAAAAAAAAACAGACTTAAAACTGTAAAAATAGAATAAATATAATATAATACTAGCAACATGTTTTCAACTAACGGAGAACACTGTGTAAAATAATGGCTTTCTTTAGAGTGAACGAACTTAACTCTTTTATAAAATCCACTTCTATTTTTGTTTTCAGTCCCTGCAACTCGAGAATTCTTCATCCCACCGACACAAAAACCAACACAGACACCAAAACGCACTATTCAAATACAGACAACAACACTTCAAACGAAAGTGATCGATACTAACTCGCCCCATGGTCTACCAGGAACAACTCCAATACCACCCGTTCCAACTTCAATTTCAATAGTTCCATTTGTTCCATTAAATCCGACTTTTCCACCTCGAAGACTGTCTTTACCACCATTGTTTATATCTACTTCTAAAACCCCGCATAATACTTCTTTCCCACCTTATATAGTTCCTCCAGTTAAAACTCAACCACCAGTAGTCCCAACAAAACCAACATTTGTTCCTTCCGTTACATCATTTATTCCATCATTACCACCTTCTCCTCCAATTGTACCCCCATTTGTTCCAACAACACGAACCTCAGTGACACCAATACCTTCTTTCGTTCCATCAGTCCGACCTTCTGTCCCATCTCAACCTCCCTTTATTCCGATAGCCGGGCCCTCTGTCCCTTCTTTACCTCCTTTTATTCCCACAGCAAGACCCTCTGTCCCTTCTGTACCTCCTTATAATCCAACAGCTCGACCCACTGTCCCTTCCGCACCTCCTATTATTCCCACAGCTTGGCCCTCTGTCCCTTCTGTACCGCCTTTTATTCCGACAGCCGCGCCCTCTGTCCCTTCTGTACCTCCTTTTATTCCATCAGCTCGACCATCTGTCCCATCGGTACCTGCCTTTGTTCCTTCACTATCACCTCCAGTTGCAACATTTTCTTCTTTAATCCCATCAGTTCCGCCATCAGTTCCTTCTGTACAACTCTTTATACCATCTACATCATCTCCACCTGTTAACCCACATCCTCAACAATCGAAACCTCCTAAATTACCGCCCTATATTGAAGTTACTCAGCCAAGAAGAGCTACCACACCTCCTGCGCTTAATGTGCCTACAACAAATCTACCATGGTTACCTACGTTTTCAACACCGCAACCTCTTCCATTCACTAATAAAACATTTCACCTTCCAAATCCAATTCCCCGACCGCCTGCGACAGTATTCCCTCCATTTTTTCAGCCAACTTTTCCTGTAACGTTTCCGCAGACTGTACCGAATGACATGCCTCCAATATTGCCTAATACTCCTAAACAACCTATAACACGTCCTTCAACAGGCCCGCCAACATTTCCTCCGACTGTGCCTTTTAGTATGCCTCCTATCGTGCCAAACATAACTCCTTTATTTCCCATATCTCCTGAATTTCCAAGTCAATCAACATTTCCAATTACAACCCCGACTATTCCAACGAAAGACCCGTTTTCCTTCAATATACCGAGCAGCCCTCAAACACCTCTATGGTTTGACCCATTTAATTTTACTGCACCGGGTACGACCACCTATCCAGCAGTTCCGACTGTAACATCAAAAACACCTACGCAAACAAATCCAGTTCATATACCTGTTGTAACAAATGGCTTTTCAACCCTTATACCAAGACCGCCGACTACAACATATTTTCCGTCACTCTCAACATCAAAGATACCTGCATGGCAAAACTTGACAACTCCAAGAACACCGTCTCCATCAACACAAACAAAGACAGTTACCAATACTGTTCGCAAGACCTCAACATCAATTCCAACTTTTAAACCATCGACGCTCTCACCTTCAACTTTTAATTACAACATCACACCACCTCCTATTCTACCCCCAAGTTCATTAAGGCCATATCCAGGTACATTCAAACCATTTAATATCACAATACCTCCTTTTCCACTACCGCCTGGCTTCAACGTTTCTACAAGTTATCCATACTGGGATGTTATGACTACAACATCATCAACACCAAATACAACTATTAAACAATCAATTAAAACGACAACAACGTACCAGACGGTCAAACAAACCTCTCCAGTACTTAATTCAAGTATAACATCCACAACACACCAATCCCCAAATACAACAGTTGTAACGCAATCTACTGCTAAAACCACAGTAAAACCATTGCCTACCACGAAAGCACCGTTAACTCCAACAAACATCTTAACGAAACCAACACCAGCACCGGTGACTACGACACCACCAAGGCCAAAGATTCCGTCCATAGATTCGATATGTCCTCCAGGAAATGTATCTATTCGTGCATTAACATGTGACCAAAATCGTAAATGTCCAGCAGGAAGTCAGTGTTTTTTTGGAATTTGTTGTCTATCGGTTGATACCGTGCAAATCTGTAAGTATTCATTTAATATCATTTGCCTGTCTATATTTGTTTATTCCAGAACAATCATTTAATAAGTTGAAATTAACCACTCTATAATGAGAGGCGTTTAAACGCTTTTGAACTCGAATAAGGCTTGAAAGGGCACAAATAATACGATTTCAAATTATTTCTGAGTATATTATATTAATTTAACGTATCCCTGTAGATCTATGTATGAACTTCTATGTTTTCCTGCTTTATGACGATAGTAGAGTTCATGATTAAGCACCAGGCATAAGTTGAGTCTATAAATTCATCATAATTCTTGTTGATGGCAATTGTTACTGACAAATTCTTTTTGACATTCTCACATTTAAATAATTTATGTCATGGATACCAGTTGTATTTAGTTCAGTGTGAATTTTAAAAGCTGTATCGGATATGGTATACTGCGTTTCAAGGACATCATTGACAAGTTTTACTTCTTCTGATTTCTTTTAAGACCATTTTACTAATATCTTTATATAATTAGTCACATTATTTAATTAACGGATCAGGGCATAGCCGCATGTTTTAAGATTTCTCTAAGGGAAAACTTTTTTATTAATCATTTGCTTTATTTTTTTCAGCGGCGTGTCCGGATTATGTTAGCAAAGGTCCATGTCCTTTGACAAGGATGCCTGACGAGTGTACT